ATCAGCCTGTATCGATTATACATTGTTTATTCATCACTTGGCACCATTGGCTGAACCAGTGAGCATCAACCAGTGGATTGGGGTAAGCAGGATAACTGCTGTTTTTCAGATCATCAGGCCAGTCATGTCTTAACAGGATTTGGCAGGAGAGGCTAAATGAAGTGTGTCTCAGGATTATGTCAATGACATTGAGGTGAGAAGATGGGACTGTGAGTCAGTAGCATGGTTGTGTGCGGGCAGGAGAGACACACTAATATCCTACATTAGAGTATGGGCCTGCTGCACTGGCCAAGCCAACAGAAGTACTGTTATGTACAGTCGTGGTCAAAAGCTTTGAGAATGACACAAGTATTGGTCTTCACAAAGTTCACTACTTCAGTGTATAATTACAAGCATTCCATGAGTGTCAGAGGCTTTTATTGACAATTACATTAAGTTTATGCAAAGAGTCAATATTTGCAGTGTTGACCCTTCTTTTTCAAGACCTCTGCAATCTGCCCTGGCATGCTGTCAATTAACTTCTGGGCCACATCCTGACTGATGGCAGCCCATTCTTGCATAATCAATGCTTGGAGTTTGTCAGAATTTGTGGGTTTTTGTTTGTCCACCCGCCTCTTGAGGATCGACCACAAGTTCTCAATGGGATTAAGATCTGGGGAGTTTCCTGGCCATGGACCCAATATTTTGATGTTTTGTTCCCCGAGCCACTTAGTTATCACCTTTGCCTTATGGCAAGGTGCTCCGTCATGCTGGAAAAGGCATTGGTCATCACCAAACTGTTCTTGGATGGTTGGGAGAAGTTGCTCTTGGAGGATGTGTTGGTACCATTCTTTATTCATGGCTGTGTTCTTAGGCAAAATTGTGAGTGAGCCCACTCCCTTGGCTGAGAAGCAACCCCACACATGAATGGTCTCAGGATGCTTTACTGTTGGCATGACACAGGACTGATGGTAACGCTCACCTTGTCTTCTCCGGACAAGGTGTTTTCCGGATGCCCCAAACAATCGGAAAGGGGATTCATCAGAGAAAATGACTTTACCCCAGTCCTCAGCAGTCCAATCCCTGTACCTTTTGCAGAATATCAGTCTGTCCCTGATGTTTTTCCTGGAGAGAAGTGGTTTCTTTGCTGCCCTTCTTGACACCAGGCCATCCTCCAAAAGTCTTCGCCTCACTGTGCGTGCAGATGCACTCGCACCTGCCTGCTGCCATTCCTGAGCAAGCTCTGCACTGGTGGTGCCCCGATTCCGCAGCTGAATCAACTTTAGGAGAGGGTCCTGGCGCTTGCTGGACTTTCTTGGGCGCCCTGACGCCTTCTTCACAACAATTGAACCTCTCTCCTTGAAGTTCTTGATGACCTGATAAATGGTTGATTTAGGTGCAATCTTACTAGCAGCAATATCCTTGCCTGTGAAGCCCTTTTTGTGCAAAGCAATGATGACGGCATGTGTTTCCTTGCAGGTAACCATGGTTAACAGAGGAAGAACAATGATTTCCAGCACCACCCTCCTTTTAAAGCTTCCAGTCTGTTATTCTAACTCAATCAGCATGACAGAGTGATCTCCAGCCTTGTCCTCGTCAACACTCTCACCTGTGTTAATGAGATAATCACTGACATGATGGCAGCTGGTCCTTTTGTGGCAGGGCTGAAATGCAGTGGAAATGTTTTTTGGGGATTAAGTTCATTTTCATGGCAAAGAGGGACTTTGCAATTAATTGCAATTCATCTGATCACTCTTCATGACATTCTGGAGTATATGCAAATTGCCATCATCAAAACTGAGGCAGCAGACTTTGTGAAAATTAGTATTTGTGTCACATTTACATTTACATTTTAGTCATTTAGCAGACGCTCTTATCCAGAGCGACTTACAGGAGCAATTAGGGTTAAGTGCCTTGCTTAAGGGCACATCGACAGATTTTTCACCTAGTCGGCTCGGGGATTAGAACCAGCGACCTTTCGGTTACTGGCACAACGCTCTTACCCACTAAGGTGTCATTCTCAAAACTTTTGACCACGACTGTAGGCTATGGAAGTGTAGGCCTGCACTAGCCAAAGCAACGGCGTCACAGCCTACTTCTACCTCTGACACAATAGTTTTCATTTAATCACTACACAATGTTTCCCTGTGGAAGGAAAGTAGTTACTAGTTCCGAAAATCAGTTTTATGGTTGAGAGAATTCTTTGAAGAGGACAATAATATCTATCTATGCAAACGTGTCATTAGCCTATCTCTTTACCAAAGATTTGCACCTCGATCAGACCAACAGCATCATTGCGTGTTGGTACACCAGAAGTACATTAATTTCCAATGGAACGCTGCATTTGCCTTGCAGCATTGCGTTGCAGTTGCAGTGTGTTCTGTGTGGTGCATACGTTGGATTTATCCAACGCATGCATTAAATTGCATGCGTAAACTTGACAGAAATAGTAGCAAACGGTGAATGTTTTGTTGCACACATATCCACTAAAATGTTGGATTACAAACAGTGCATTCAGAATGTATTCAGACCCCATGACCTTTTCCACATTTTGTTATGTTACAGCCTTATTCTAACATTTATTAAATAGTTTTTTTCCCCCTCATCAATCTACACACTACCCCATAATGACAAAGCAAAAACAGGTTATACATTTTTACAAATGTATTAAAAATTCAACTTAAATATCACATTTACATAAGTATTCAGACCCTTTACTCAGTACTTTGTTGAAGTACCTTTGGCAGCGATTACAGCCTCAAGTCTTCATGGGTATGACGCTACAAGCTTGGCACACCTGTATTTGGGGAGTTTCTCCCATTCTTCTCTGCAAATCCTCTCAAGCTCTGTCAGGTTGTATGGGGATCGTTGCTGCACAGCTATTTTCAGGTCTCTCTAGAGATGTTCGATCGGGTTCAAGTCCAGGCTCTGGCTAGGGCACTCAAGGACATTCAGACACTTGCCCTGAAGCCACTCCTGCATTGTCTTGGCTGTGTGCTTAGGGTCGTTGTCCTGTTGGAAGGTAAACCGTCACCCCAGTCTGAGGTCCTGAGTGCTTTGGAGCAGGTTTTCATCAAGGATCTCTTTGTACTTTGCTTCGTTCATCTTTCCCTCGATCCTGAATGGTCTCCCAGTCCCTACCGCTGAAAAACATTCCCACAGCATGATGCTGCCACCACCATGCTTCACTGTAGGGATGGTATTGGCCAGGTGATGAGCGGTGCCTGGTTTCCTCCAGACGTGACACTTGGCATTCAGGCCAAAGAGTTCAGTCTTGGTTTCATCAGACCAGAGAATCTTGTTTCTCATGGTCTGAGAGTGCCTTTAGGTGCCTTTTGGCGAACTCCAAGCGGGCTGTCGTGCCTTTTACTAAGGAGTGGCTTCCGTCTGGCCATAAAGGAAAGATTGGTGGAGTGCTGCAGAGATGGTTGTCCTTCTGGAAGGTTCTCCCATCGCCACAGAAGATCTCTGGAGCTCTGTCAAGAGTGACCATCGGGTTCTTGGTCACCTCCCTGACCAAGGCCCTTCTCCCCCGATTGCTCAGTTTGGCCGAGCGGCCAGCTCTAGGAAGAGTCTTGGTGGTTCCAAACTTCTTCTATTTAAGAATGGAGGCCACTGTGTTCTTGGGGACCTTCAATGCTGCAGAAATTTTTTGGTACCCTTCCCCAGGTCTGTGCCTCGACACAATCCTGCCTCGGAGCTCTACGGACAATTCCTTCGACCTCATGGCTTGGTTTTTGCTCTGACATGCACTGTCAATTGTGGGACCTTTATATAGACAGGTGTGTGTGCCTTTCCAAATCATGTCCAATCATTTGAATTTACCACAGGTGTACTCCAATTAAAATGGATGATCAATGGAAACAGGATGCACCTGAGCTCAATTTCGAGTCTCATAGCAAAGGGTCTGGATACTTAAGTAAATAAGGTATTTCTGTTTTTATTTTTAATACATTTGCTGAAACTAAAACAAACAAATGTTTTTGCTTTGTCATTATGGGGTAGTGTGTGTAGATTGAGAATAGTTTTCTTTAATCCATTTTAGAATAAGGCTGTAACGTAACAAAATGTGGAAAACGTCAATGGGTCTAAATACTTTCCGAATGCACTGTACATAATGAAAAAAGTATTGATGCAATGGTGCTGTCTGTCTGATCGAGGTGTTAGGCCTATCCTTGAATGACAGGTGATTTCACGTATCTTATGTGTTGTTTTCTGTAACATAAAAAGAACATCTAGCCGCCTTTGTTTAAATTAGGCCATTTCAAATGTGATCAGTTAGTTACATACTGTGTATGAGTGACAAGCTATGTTTTAATCAAATTGCAGACAGATTTTCATTTTCAACTCTACTGATGGTTTTGTAAAAATAAAAAAGCGTTATATTGCGAATGTGCCCACTCTGGTCTTGGCACGTGCGCTTTAGCCAACAGCTCGCAAATACAGTGCGGGTAGGATAGCCTACATGATGAGACTATTATGGACAAAATAGATTTATTTTTATTTTTCATAAGGCAGCCGAGCACCGATCATCATGTCTCAAGAATAAGACCCTCAATATTTATTGGAAAGGAGCATCATACACCGCGTGCACTTTCACCACCTTGTGAAGTTCATAACTTATTTCATCTGTAGCCTAGTAAACTGCATTATTTCCTGAGTCGTAGTGGGAGGACCATACCATAGTGGGGCGTGACTCCAAGTTTACTTTAATATGATGGTTATTATATAAATATTTGCGCATAAAGGCATTTCCATCGTCATTTCTCTCATAATTAATTTTATCGACACTAAAAGATCCCACCTTGTGTAGCGTATTTAGTATTGTCGATATTTGGAAAGTTTACCGACATTTGCTGTTTCCATCAGGCCTGTCGTAACGTTTTCTTTTAGCCAACATGTACTTTACTCACATAAAAAGGTTGGATGGAAAGCTGATTACTGAGACTCTTCTTCCTTCCTCTCTCAGATCAACAACTGTCCCAGCAGCTGGAGCGAGACAGACCTACTAGCAGGGCAAAATGAGTGAACTGGACCAGTTGCGCCAGGAGGCTGAGCAGCTCAAAACCCAGATCAGAGTGAGTGTTAATCCCTCCATCTACCATCAATGGGCAGGAGCAATTCTTTAAAAACTACAGAAATTGCTTCTTTCAGAAATAATTGAATTGTCGCTGCACTCAGTCTCAACACAGTGTCATAACAAAGCTACATGATCTTCTGAAAATGTTTGGTTGTTAAATTTGTGTGTTGGTTATTTGTTGTCCTACTTTTGCAGGATGCCAGGAAAGCATGTGCAGATGCCACACTATCACAGGTAAAATAATTTATATCACCCAATTTCACATTGACAGATCAATAACTAACGTTTCTTTCATATTGAAAGCAAATCTAAGAAGTGGTAGATCTGTTCTATGTGTGCTATTTCTATGCTTCAAGTTTTGTTTTTGCATCTTATACTTTCGGTTTTGTACACCAGCTGAAAATACAATATTTTTGGTTATGGAAAATACACTGCTCAAAAAAATAAAGGGAACACTTAAACAACACAATGTAACTCCAAGTCAATCACACTTCTGTGAAATCAAACTGTCCACTTAGGAAGCAACACTGATTGACAATACATTTCACATGCTGTTGTGCAAATGGAATAGACAAGAGGTGGAAATTATAGGCAATTAGCAAGACACCCCCAATAAAGGACTGGTTTTGCAGGTGGTGACCACAGACCACTTCTCAGGTCCTATGCTTCCTGGCTGATGTTTTGGTCACTTTTGAATGCTGGCGGTGCTTTCACTCTAGTGGTAGCATGAGACGGAGTCTACAACCCACACAAGTGGCTCAGGTAGTGCAGCTCATCCAGGATGGCACATCAATGCGAGCTGTGGCAAGAAGGTTTGCTGTGTCTGTCAGCGTAGTGTCCAGAGCATGGAGGCGCTACCAGGAGACAGGCCAGTACATCAGGAGACGTGGAGGAGGCCGTAGGAGGGCAACAACCCAGCAGCAGGACTGCTACCTCCGCCTTTGTACAAGGAGGAGCACTGCCAGAGCCCTGCAAAATGACCTCCAGCAGGCCACAAATGTGCATGTGTCTGCTCAAACGGTCAGAAACAGACTCCATGAGGGTGGTATGAGGGCCCGACGTCCACAGGTGGGGGTTGTGCTTACAGCCCAACACCGTGCAGGACGTTTGGCATTTGCCAGAGAACACCAAGATTGACAAATTCGCCACTGGCGCCCTGTGCTCTTCACAGATGAAAGCAGGTTCACACTGAGCACGTGACAGACGTGACAGAGTCTGGAGACGCCGTGGAGAACGTTCTGCTGCCTGCAACATCCTCCAGCATGACCGGTTTGGCGGTGGGTCAGTCATGGTGTGGGGTGGCATTTCTTTGGGGGGCCGCACAGCCCTCCATGTGCTCGCCAGAGGTAGCCTGACTGCCATTAGGTACCGAGATGAGATCCTCAGACCCCTTGTGAGACCATATGCTGGTGCGGTTGGCCCTGGGTTCCTCCTAATGCAAGACAATGCTAGACCTCATGTGGCTGGAGTGTGTCAGCAGTTCCTGCAAGAGGAAGGCATTGATGCTATGGACCGCCCATTCCCCAGACCTGAATCCAATTGAGCACATCTGGGACATCATGTCTCGCTCCATCCACCAACGCCACGTTGCACCACAGACTGTCCAGGAGTTGGCGGATGCTTTAGTCCAGGTCTGGGAGGAGATCCCTCAGGAGACCATCCGCCACCTCATCAGGAGCATGCCCAGGCGTTGTAGGGAGGTCATACAGGCACGTGGAGGCCACACACACTACTGAGCCTCATTTTGACTTGTTTTAAGGACATTACATCAAAGTTGGATCAGCCTGTAGTGTGGTTTTCTACTTTAATTTTGAGGGTGACTCCAAATCCAGACCTCCATGGGTTGATACATTTGATTTCCATTGATAATTTTTGTGTGATTTTGTTGTCAGCACATTCAACTATGTAAAGAAAAAAGTATTTAATAAGATTATTTCATTCATTCAGATCTAGGATGTGTTATTTTAGTGTTCCCTTTATTTTTTTGAGCAGTGTATATTTCACAGCGGTTTAGATGGTACAATGATACTTGCTTGTTTTGTCACATTAAACTGAAATTAGGCAAACTATTACAATTTCAGCAACCATGAAATGGCGGAGTGATTTCTGCATAGTGCATCTTTAACTAGGGATATCCAAAACATTCAACGCAATCTGCTATTGATGGCTTTATGTAACTGTGTTTTTGTGTTTTGCAGATCACAGCCAATATTGATCCTGTTGGCCGTATTCAGATGCGCACAAGAAGAACACTGAGGGGTCATTTGGCTAAGATCTATGCCATGCATTGGGGCACTGATTCCAGGTAAACCCAAGTATAATTTGTATAGTGTCTTTCACAAACTAGGAGGGTAATTTCCATTTGTTCTATACTACAAAAAAAAACGTCTTCCTTTTGGAGTTTTTGCTATGACAAATAGTTGAATGATTCCAGTTGTCAAATGTAAAAGTTGGCATGGTATATAATTGTATGACCCTTGGCATGAATTGGTGATTATATGATTCCACATGATATAGTGGAAAAGTGGTAAATGGAAGTAGGTGTTATTATGACTACGCATGTGTTGTTGCTATTCTTGTCATTGCTTGGATTTGGCCCCAAGTTAAAAGGCAAAGCAGTCTTAATAAATTGCTTTTAGTTTGCTATTCTATTCCATATAGAATGTAGGCTAGTTACAGTTGTATTAATGTTTTTGTTAAATTTCTTAAAGGGGAACTGTTATTCCATGACATGTTTCTGGCTCTTTCTCATAGGCTCTTGGTCAGTGCTTCCCAAGATGGTAAACTCATCATTTGGGACAGCTATACCACAAACAAGGTCAGACTTCAGTGGCTCAACTTCCATAGCTCTGTTTGGAGAACCACTACAACATTTCCATTGCAATTATAGGCATTGCATTCAGTCCCTTCAACCATTCTACTTCAGTTTTTTATTCACCTACGCACCTGTAATAAGAGATCATTACTTCAGGTGTGCAAAGGTTTCATGTTTTTTAACCACCACCTCCTTGCAGGTCCATGCCATTCCTCTGCGTTCTTCCTGGGTCATGACCTGCTCATATGCACCTTCAGGAAACTACGTGGCATGTGGAGGTCTGGACAACATCTGCTCCATTTACAACCTGAAGACACGTGAGGGGAATGTACGTGTGAGCCGGGAGCTTGCTGGACATACAGGTAGAGAGACTATATTTTCTGTTTGGTGGCATGTTTTATTTGTTTTCCTATGAAGTCCTTCTCATTTTCTGCTACTTAAAAACCACTGTGGGAACATTTCTGGATTTCTGAATATTTTTTTAGTAATACACAAATGAAATCTCTCAATTCCAGGTTATCTGTCCTGCTGTCGTTTCGTTGATGACAACCAGATTATTACAAGCTCTGGAGACACCACCTGGTAAGTAAAGGAATTACTCAGTGTCCTGTAAGGATGCTGCTCTGTCTATTTCCAATACTACAACATTGTTAATTTTCCTAAAATGGATTAAATGTGAATTTGTATATAAACTCATGCCTTGTTTTAACCGGATGTTGTTTTTACAGTGCCCTTTGGGATATAGAGACTGGCCAGCAGACAACCACGTTTGCTGGGCACAGTGGTGATGTCATGAGCCTCTCATTGGCCCCTGACACTAGGCTATTTGTGTCAGGTGCTTGTGATGCCTCTGCCAAACTCTGGGACGTTAGAGAGGGCATGTGCAGACAGACCTTCACTGGGCATGAGTCTGACATCAATGCCATATGTGTAAGGGCATATTTAAAGACATCTATGCACATGTATTGCCTATTAGGGGATTTTACATTGATTGATTGATTGCTTGATTGATTGATTGATTTTATTTTGGGTAAAACAATTTGTACATTTTTAAGAACAGTATTTAAAAGTACAAGAAACCCAGAGGATGACACATGAAAGCGTAAATACACTTATTTCCAATGTGGTCCTCAAATGATTAAATATGATCAAACATGATGAAATATAATCTACATTTATACAATTCAGTTCTTTGATTTAAAAAAATTGTTTTTGAGATACAAATTTGAAGTAAAATATAGTCAGTTATATTATACCCCTTTCGTATTTGCTCAGTAAGTAATTGCTATGTGATCTGATCTGTGCTTTACAGTTCTTCCCCAATGGCAATGCCTTTTGTACGGGCTCCGACGATGCCACCTGCAGACTCTTCGATCTTCGTGCCGACCAGGAGCTGATGTGCTACTCTCATGACAACATCATTTGTGGCATCACCTCTGTTGCTTTCTCCAAGAGTGGCCGTCTCCTTCTGGCTGGATATGACGACTTCAACTGCAACGTGTGGGACACACTGAAGGCTGACCGTGCTGGTGAGTCACTAATAACACCCCAGAGAGACGTCTCGTTGCACATTAGTGTTGCACGGTATACCAAAACGTGGGTACTTTTTCGATACTATAACATGAAAAACAGTTCTGAATTCGTTTTTTATATTTTGGGTTCTTCTGTCAAATTTCTGATGTCGTATACTGCATGACAGGATCAAGTCTGTCTGTCTGGTCCACTCAAGCTGGCCATACATTACGCGAATTAAACTGCGATTTTGCAACGATTTGGCATCTATGCCGAATTGTTGGGATCGCAGGTAAATCATACATTTGTAGGCTCCACCCAAGACGTTGTAGGTCGCATAATGTGAGCGGGTGAAAGACGTGGGATTATAGGTCTTGCGCTCTCCCGAGCCGCATTTTAGGTCCCGGTTTTATTTTTCGGACTTTTGCAACTCGTCCTCCGTTGCTCAGCTCATTCTAGGCTACAGCCACAGCGTAGGAGGGGTAATGATGCCACGGGCGCCACAACATATATGGAAATCACAGGACAGGGCGGGGTCTAGAGAAGTCTCAATGCGAGCAAAGTTGTGTAATGTGAGCACACAGATAGCAGACTACAGGATGAAAAGATTATCCAGACAATTTGCATAATATGAGTTGTCCCACGATGTCAATATTTTTGTTGTCTAATGTATGCCTAGCTTTACTCATTGCTAGCTAGCCTGTCCTGAGGAACCACTCCACTGTTTGGGAGGCTGTATCATGTTAGCTCCCCACTCATGCTGCACAGAAGTTAACACAGTTAAATAATGCAACACAGCATGTAGAAAGGTTTAAACTGTTAATTACTGTTCGCTAAACAATGTACATACAGGCTAGAACACTTTACAATGCAAGAAGATATCTCTAGCTAGCTAGCTAATATCCTACAAAGCTGGATGTTGTTTAACTTTCCTTGCTAGCTTACAGCTGAAGAAGCTAACATCAATTCACAACCCTAGTATGCAAACCATAACGCAAAATATGCTGATTTCAAATCTTTATTATATTCACTTTGTTGCCTCCCGAGTGGCGCAGCGGTCTAAGTCACTGCATCACAGTATTAGAGGCGTCACTACAGACCCAGGTTCGATCCCAGGCTGTGTCGCAGCCGGCCGCGACCGGGAGACCCATGAGGTAGCGCACAATTGGCCCAGCGTCGTCCGGGTTAGGGGAGGGTTTGGCCGGCCGGGATGTCCTTGTTCCATCGCGCTCTAGCGACTACTTGTGGCGGGCCGGGTGCATGCACGCTGACTTCAGTTGCCAGTTGTACCGTGTTTCCTCCGACACATTGGTGCGGCTAGCTTCCGGGTTAAGCGAGCAGTGTGTCAAGAAGGAGTGCGGCTTGGCAGGGTCATATTTCGGAGGACGCATGGCTCGTGACCTTTGCCTCTCCCGAGTCCGTACAGGAGTTGCAGCGATGGGACAAGACTAACTACCAATTGGATAGGAAAAAAGGGGTAGGAAAAAAAACAATTCACTGGGTTAATGGTCTCTCCTTCATGTCTCTCTCACCAAACTGTGTGAACTGACTGCCTCATGAATGTCATTACAGGGTCTTAGAGACAAAGAAGAGATTTCTACTTCTATGCGAATATTGACAAAAAAAACAGTGCCTTCAGAAAGTATTCATAACCCTTGACTTATTCCACATGTTACAGCCTGAATTCAAAATGGATGAAAAAATATACAATACCCCATAATGACAAAGTAAAAAAATATATATACACTACCGTTCAAAAGTTTGGGTCACTTAGAAATGTCCTTGTTTTTGAAAGAAATTATTTTTTTTGTCCATTCAAATAACATCAAATTGATCAGAAATACAGCGTAGACATTGTTAATGTTGTAAATGGCTATTGTAGCTGGAAACTGCTTTTTTTTTTTTTTTTTTTATGAATAATTTGTAAGTCGCTCTGGATAAGAGCGTCTGCTCAATGATGTAAATGTCAATATCTACATAGGCGCACAGAGGCCCATTATCAGCAACCATCAGTCCTGTGTTCCAATGGCACGTTGTGTTTGCTAATCCAAGTTTATCATTTTAAAAGGCTAATTGATCATTAGAAAACCCTTTTGCAATTATGTTAGCACAGCTGAAAAAGCAATAAAACTGGCCTTCTTGATACTAGTTGAGTATCTGGAGCAACAGCAATTGTGGGTTCGATTACAGGCTCAAAATGTCCAGAAACAAATAACTTTCTTCTGAAACTCGTCAGTCTATTCTTGTTCTGAGAAATGAAGGCTATTCCATGCGAGAAATTGCCAAGAAACTGAAGATCTTGTACAACGCTCTGTACTACTCCCTTCACAGAACAGCGCAAACTGTCTCTAACCAGAATAGAAAGAGGAGTGGGAGGCCCCGAATTTACTAATTTTACTTTAGTGCATTATTGCAAACAGGATGTGTGGGGTACAGAGATGAGGTAGTCATGCAAAAATCATGTTAAACACTATTGCACACAGTCAGTCCATGCAACTTATGTGACTTGTTAAGCAAATGTTTACTCCTGAACGTATGTAGGCTTGCCATAATAAAGGGGTTGAATACTTGACTAAAGACATTTCAGCTTTTTTTAATTGATTTGTAAAAATGTGTAGAAATATAATTCCACTTGGACATTATGGGGTATAGTGTGTAGGCCAGTGACACAATCTCAATGTAATCCATTTTAAATTCAGGCTGTAACACAACAACATTTGGGAAAAGTCAAGGAGTGTGAATACTTTCTGAAGGCACTGTAAGTCTCAAATGGAAGGGAAATAGATTCATCTGTAGCCCCATAGACTCCACTGAAATCAGCCAAAACAAGCTCAATAACTCAATGCATGCACACACTCCTATTGAAAAGGCATTCATCTGTATTGTGAATAGGCCTAGGCTACATATTGATTTACCAAGTTTATCAATAGAGATGTACCATTCAAATAAATGATTACCGTTATGTAGTTAGTGGTAAAAACAAAGTCAAATTGATTGTATCATTGATTCATTAATTAATGCATACATGGCTGTACCTGAAAAATGTGTACATACAAAATGTCTAATTGAATGATATTGAACTCAAAACATGCCCAACAATTGAACAGAGCAGTAGCTGAGTTTCTGTCTGGATCAAGTGCTATCCTGTGACTTTGGCTAATGCGTTTTTTTGTTGCTGTGATACTAAATCTGGAAGCTATTGGTATTGAAGTCAAAATGCTTGTATCGTGACAACTCTATCGCACACCAAGCATGTTTAGAAGTTTATATTGTACACGTATTAGTCAAACGCAACCTGTCCTGGACATTTTTTTAATAACTCCCAACAAATTATGTTTCAAGCACATTTTAACTTATTTATAATGTCAGCTAAATTAAATTGCATAATTCCCAGAACAGTCCTTAGACTAATATTATGGTGCTGTTTTAGGTGTGTTGGCTGGACATGACAACCGTGTTAGCTGCCTGGGAGTCACCGACGATGGCATGGCAGTTGCAACAGGATCCTGGGACAGTTTTCTCAAGATCTGGAATTGAAACCTGAAGGTGCTTTGCCTTTTTTGTATTGCTGTAAAGCTAAGCCTTTTTTAGCTACTTATGGAACAGCAGCTGTATACAGTGTGTTCATTGTTCAGTATAAGTGAACCCTGACTCATTCTTACTTTTCTTCTTCAGATGTCATTTTGAACTCCAAAGTTGACTGGAAGACCGTTACAACAACTTGAGAATGTTACATTTCACAGCATCTTCTTCAACACTGTTTTAAACTGACTTGGACACCACAAACTAAGGGAAACCAATGCCTTTCCTACACAAGAAGAGCACAATTGTTTGTCACCTAGTTCAAAAGAAGATTTCCTGTGGTATCAAATCAAAAACTTGTGCATTCCTTCTTGGACCCTTTTATGTTACCTTGAATGAGAAAACAACACTATCATCCCATGCAAATGTATGTCTTGAAAGCAAATGTTTGAGCATAATTGTACAAATTATTTAACTTTCTATTCTCTGATGGTTTTAGTTTTATTCAGTTGCTTTCGTTTGTCATGTTTTCTTTTAAAATTGAAGCTTGTCATTTTAATCCAATTTAATCATGTAAGAAAGATGAGACAACATAAAACATGCAGAAAGCATGAAAGCAAAATCTTGACCAGATTACAGGAGCTGCGTTAAGAACTTCAATGATGTATTTATATATTAGCTATATTTGTTTCATCACAGCTTTTTTGCACAAAAATAAAATGTGCTTTAACTAATACTGTGTTAACTAAGCACATGCTATAAATTGTGATGACTGCTCATTTCAATACAAAAGGAGTTCATGAGTAACTTCATTTCAGTTAACCCCTTAACTCTGTATGTCTTATTTGGGTGGAGTGGGGAATAGGGGTTTAGGGTGGGTTCTGTGATTGTTGGGGCTGGATTTAGTTTCATGGATGGGGATTTTTGAAGTGTCCACTTGGTGAAAGACCACCTGACTAACAGACACCCTTCCTGTGCTTGGAAACAGCAGTTGCTATTCTGTGAATGAAATGTACAAATCAATGTCTGAAAATAATGATCTGAAATTTTACATTTTTTGTTTTGTCTGCCATCGGTTAATTTAGGTGTGCATGCTGTAGAATTGCTTTCCACGATGCAAAGATCCAAGTCATCTGTCTTTTTCATAAGGAGTAACCTGAACTATAATTTGAATTTTATTCAAGTTATTTTGGCTACACTCTGCATATGTACTTACACTGGCAAAGCTATGCACCAGAGTAATTGAAAGTGAAGAATGGATTTCATATTGACTGCAGACTCCATGTGATATATGCTACCAGTTCTAATGATGCCAATTTTTTTATTAGAAAAAGTAGAATGATTGTGAAAGCCTTGTTTTTTTATTAATATCACCTTTAAACGTTCACACCCAATGGAACAAAAACACCTGATTTATGCCCGTACTAAAACATGTAATACTTTTTTTTCTTGGTCTTAGATCATAGCATCTGAATGGCAGACTTTTTTTTTTTTTTTTTTTTTTCACTGTACAGAAGCACTTTCTTTAATAGTTTGGACATTTTGTCACTTATTTTTCTGTGGTGTAAAATAAATGTGATGTATTTGTGTGTGGCCACAAGTAAAAATGAATTGCAATTCAATTGAGATGGATTCCCTTTTCTCCTTCCATTGATAAGATGGAGCTCTGCACCCTTTTCACCTTTTGTATTTTATTTCAGTCTGTTGGGTGGCGTTTACACAGGCTGCCCAATTCTGATCTTCTGCCAAATTATTGATAAGTGCTGATCTGTTTGGTCAAAAGACCAAATGGTGAAAAAGAAAAACAGAATTGGTCCGCCTGTGTAAACACAGCATTGGTGTTCCACAGTGAGCTGGATGCAAGATAGATACTGTACTAAAATGTACTGTTATTGAAAATGTAATAAAAAGCTGTTTGAGATGTTTCGTTCTTAACTTATTCTCATGCTACTTGTCAAATGTTTTTTGGCCCATATGTCGATTAACTTTATTGCCTGTTAGTGCAGAAATTATCCTTGCAAATAATGAGATAAAGGAACCCTTACCAAACATTCACATTCCAACAATGCAAAGTAAAAGCACAATCGGCTACTTAATTAGCATGTTCGTACGTGACCCTAATGATTGGTTGTTTTTGCCTTGGCGGACTGAGGGGTATTTGCAAGTAAACGATACTTAATAGATGCGTCTCCTGTTTTTGTTTTGCCATTTTTGTTACGCGACCCTAGCCTAATAAGCCCATTATGAACTCTACCGAAAGGAAATATATCTTGGGGTTGTGGCTTGCGCCTTGGGGGTCGGGCAACCTTGGTTCTAATTCCTGTTAGTGCAATGCTCTCCCGCTGTTCGCTACATTGCAGTGGGAGGTCCGGGGGTGGCTTGTAGACAAATCATTACTAGCGCCCCAAGTGTGTACAAGGTTCTGTCATTTCAACAAACCGAACCATTTGAGGTGCTTTCTTCACTCATGTGATGGATGTTGCTGTGGCAAACAACAACATGGAGAGATGGGCAGCAGCCTGGAATATACCCTATCCGGATTTTTTTTTTTTTTTTTTTTGCATTTTAGCTAACCCTAACCCTTTTCCGAAATCTCCTAACCTGCTGCCACGAAAAGTCTCCTGTGTGGCGCAGTGGTCTAAGGCACTGCATCGCAGTGCTAACTGTGTCACTAGAGATCCTGGTTCGAATCCAGGCTCTGTCGCAGCCGGCCGCGACCGGGAGACTCATGGGCGGCGCACAATTGGCCCAGCGTCGTCCAGGGTAGGGGAGGGAATGGCCGGCAGGGATGTAGCTCAGTTGATAGAGCATGGCGTTTGCAACGCCAGGGTTGTGGGTTCGATTCCCACAGGGGGCCAGTATAAAAATATATATATATATATATATATGTAAGTCGCTCTGGATAAGAGCGTCTGCTAAATGACTAAAATGTAAATGTAAATGTAAGTCAATTTGACAAAAGCTGTATCGCTTCCAGTCGAAACGTCCCTGGTCCCCAGTTGTCACAGGAAGTCATGAAGGAAAAAAATGGGTTCATCCAATCTTTAGATAGGGGGGACGCCGCGGTAGTCATCGAGTATGGATCTCGGTGGGTATAATCAGTTTACACAAGGTTACATTTTTTTTAGGCAAATACAAATATGTTTTAAGAGATCACAGTAAAAATGGTGTAGTATTTCCCTTTAAATAATTATTTATCATTTTCTGTTATTTTCTAGATTCACAACACCCCCTCGTACCCTCCGTTTACAATGAAAGGATCTGACATAATGACGTACTTCCTCTATGACTTACATAATGCCATTTTGATCTGAAAGTACAACGGTGTTTCATGTTGTCGCAGATGTGTTTGAGCGTAAATATTTGCTTTAAATCTGCAGTATTACGTGCGTGCTAGGTAAGAAAAACGCAGTTAAGACTTAACGTTAATTATATGATTGCTCAATTTCAGTTTTCTTGGACGAAATTTTAAGTTGTAGGACCAACACGGCACGAGACTCCGTTAGCGCATTCATAGCCACATTGCTATAGCGAGGTCGTCGTCCGGTGTCGATGACACAGCTAGCTAACGTTAACTAGCCAACCTAACAAAGGAACACTGGAAGTGGGACCGTGGTATTTTCGTTTGCTAGAATTTCTCACGAACTCTACGTCGTTTAAATACAATTAGGTTTAATCAAGATAAACAGCGTCCATTTCAACATCTGAACTAATATATATTTTCTGCAAAATCGCGGTGTTTTTTCACTGCTGTTTTTGTACCAATCAGCTCGTGTCGTCGGGCATAGCCGAGTGTTTAGAGAGCTATCTAACGTAAACTAGCCATTGCAGTGTTTTTGGCAGAGAAAAGGCGTTGTGCGTAAAAATGGCAGAGGTGTACATTCGTGTGGCGGAAGAAGAGAATGAGGAGCCCATGGAGATCCCATCCGAGGATGATGGCACAGTGTTGCTTTCTACCGTGGCCGCTCAGTTTCCAGGGGCCTGCGGCCTACGATTCAGGAGTCCTGTTTCACAGTGCATGCGAGGGGTCCGTTTGGTGGAAGGGATGCTTCATGCACCTGAAAACGGCTGGGGAAATTTGGTCTATGTCGTCAATTATCCCAAAGGTATGTTGACTGACTTTTTTATTTTATTAGCCACCAACTGGTGGACAAATGCATTATAATACATGCATACTAAATTATTCCAGAGTCAACGGTTCCCTAGCTATATGCATCACATGGAATGAGTATCTAACTAGGCAAATGTCTGTCTCAAGTGTTCCAACAGCGATTGAATGATGATGATGATCCCTACCACACTATTTCAGACAACAAAAGGAAAATGGACGAGATTGATGCCTCCTCTGCTGTAAAGATGAAGAGAGGCGATATGAAGACCTCAGACCTGATTGTACTGGGGTTGCCTTGGAAGACATCTGAACAGGACCTGAAAGATTACTTCAGCACCTTTGGGGAAGTCATCATGGTACAGGTAAAGTATCAAATTAGCAATTTCATTCATGCAGATCAGTTGAGTGCTGTGGATACCTTCTCAGTTTTTTCTCTCTCACACAGCTCTAATGTGCAAGGCCTTGCTATATCTGTGGTTCCTTCTAAACTAACATTTGAGACATTTTAAAGTGGCAATGAGCAGTTTAAACAATGACAAAGCATACTCTCTGCCACTGTTTTGCTAAGGGTTGGGCCTGGAGAAATGTAGCCACTCTCAAATTCATAGACAGCACTATGGATACAAGGACTGACCATCCATGACATCAAAATGATAGTTTTAACTATGTTTTGATGGTAGTGTTTTTTTTACATTTACTATGTTAACAAACATTGGAGTAAAGCTTATTTTGGGTTGTGATGAGGTACATGCATTTAACTAAGCTCATGAGGCATTTATAAGTTATATTCCTTATGAATCAATGGGTACATATATAATTAATGTATGTCCCAAAATGGATATAGCAACTGCAGATTGCCACTTTAAACATTTTGGGTTAATGTGAAATGTAGTTTTTAACCCCATGCTCCTACTTACAGGTGAAACGAGATGTGAAGACCGGAAACTCAAAGGGATTTGGCTTTGTGAGGTTTACTGAGTATGAGACTCAAGATAAAGTGATCTCTCAACGCCACATGATTGATGGAAGATGGTGTGACTGCAAACTCCCCAACTCCAAGGTAGGTGTTTGTTTCTGTATGGCTTGTAACATGGATCATTAATGGCAAGAGCACTGTTTCAGATCACATCCCACCACCTCCCCCTACTGCCATATATTGTTCATGTGCAATACTTTTTACCTTTGTGAAACAGCAAGGTCCAGATGAGCCCATGAGAAGCAGGAAAGTGTTTGTAGGCCGTTGCACTGAAGACATTTCCGCTGATGAGCTGCGCCAGTTCTTCATGCAGTATGGCGAGGTCACTGACGTCTTCATCCCCAAGCCCTTCCGTGCCTTTGCCTTCGTCAGCTTTGCCGATGACCAGGTTGGTGCCACTGCAAATTCAAAGACCATGTTCTGTTTGCCATCTGCTGAATTGCCCCTTTAATGTCAGACTGGCATGTATGTTTTTTTCTCTCCAGGTTGCCAGTTCCCTATGTGGAGAGGACCTGATTATTAAGGGAGTCAGCGTGCACATCTCAAACGCTGAGCCAAAGCACGGCAGTAGGCAGATGATGGAGCGAGCAGGGCGGTTTGGAAATGGGTTTGGGGCTCAGGGTTTTGGTAGTAACCGCACAGGGTTAGGGAGCAGCGCCGGTAGTAATATGGCTAATTTTGGCAACTTTAGTCTGAATCCTGCCATGATGGCTGCCGCGCAGGCTGCCCTGCAGAGCAGTTGGGGAATGATGGGTATGTTGGCTAGTCAGCAAGGGCAGACTGCCACCTCAGGCACCACCTCTACTGGGCAGACTAGCTCCTCCAGGGATCAGAGCCAGGCCTACAGCACAGGCAACAGTAACTACGGCACCAGCTCAGCCAGTCTAGGTTGGGGTACTGGTTCTAATTCAACAACCAGTGGTAGTGGGTTTAGCTCAGGAGGATTTGGCTCCAGTATGGAGTCCAAGTCTTCAGGGTGGGGTATGTAAGTAATAGTTTGTATGGTAAGTATTGTGAGATGTCCTTTTCCAAATCTATTTCTGGTGTTACGCGTATCTGATAACTAAACGCTTTTGTCAAAGATGTTTTGTTCGTTTGGAGAGAGAAAAAATGCTCAAGATTTAATTTAGAAATTGTTTGAGGTGAATTATTATTTACCAGGGTGTTCAGCTTAAGTGCTACTTTTGATGTCAAATTGATTTAAGTTTGTCCTGACTTATTTTCAACTGGATTCTTTAAGGCATGTATTGTGATGTTTCTGAAAATGCATGAGAAATCACTATGGTTCACTATTCATCCATATATTTGACAACAATCTTGCATTGGAAAGAATCTGGTTGAAACTGAAATGTTTTAAGTGCAACTTTATTTGCAGTCAAGTTCAATGGAAAAACCTTCACTACAATCTCTTCTGCAGTTCACTTCTCTTCCATTTTCCCGGGAAGAAGCTCCTCTTTGGCAGCATTCTTTGGGTGATGTCAGTATCACTCTCCCTCTTCCCATCTGTAAATGCTTTGCCATCAAAGAACGGCTTCACTCCGCATGTTCTAAGAGACGGTGGGTGTTTCATTTTTTTATCCACTTTTTAATGGAAAGAACTGCGCAGCTGACATTTTAAGAACTCATGAGTGCGACTGAGGATGGCTTGTGGCGAAGAGTGAATCGATGAGTGAGCGAACGGAGAGAAAAAGAAAGCGTGAAACGGACTGGTTGTGCGATGAAAGAGCCCAATTTGACTGCTTTTGTGAGAGTGAATGGAAGCTGCGGATGCTACAAGCTCCTTCCCCCTAAAATGGACTTTCATTTAGTAGTACTTCAAGATCTCTTTTTATTGTAGCAATTTTTCCTACCCTTATTGATCAAGTGCAGAAGTAGTACGCAAATGTAGTGTGGAATGTTGTGCTGAATATTTGTCTTGCTTATATAACCTACCTGACCTGAATGCTGTATGGTGTGTGTGTGTGGTTTCTTTCCTTGTTATTGATGCTCTGTAAGTGTGAACTTGATGTGGATGACACCTGCCGCGGACACTGGGGACGTGAGTGTTGGTGTGAGAGCATGGAGTGGCGTGGTTGTCAAATGTTTCCCAGTGTGATTCTGTGCGTTTCAAAGGTGTTTTAGACATGTCAAATAAGAGTTCTCTAATAAAACTTTGTTTGAATAGATATGCTTATTTGAATACTGGGTACTTTTGTTACACTTGAATTGTCAAAAAAAATCTAATTTAATTCACATATCTAGGGACCTTGGACACTGCTGACCGAGGTTTCCATCTGAACCCGGACTGGAGTCAGTGTCCTGAAGGATGAAGACTGAAGTCCTCACAGGCTTGAAATGGGGTCTTATATTTATGCCAACCTAAAAGGAGTCAGAATTGGGTAGTAAGTTTGGATACATTTGTTCTACTCAGACCTGAAAGTATTTTTTGTTTATTTGGCTTTGTTTACAATATAACACATTGAGGCATTATTTGGGTAGAACAGTAATCTCATGTATTCTTTGGGACAAGACATAACGAACAGGTTATGGTACTTCAAATGTGTACATGGAAATGGTGTACATAAAGGATATTACAGCACATCTCAATGCTGAAGATGAATGGGAACACCTGTTGTCCTTCAATATTTTTATTTAACTGCTTTTTTAAACGTATAGATCTGTAAATAATTTTGGAGAAGACATTGGAACCGTGCTTACATTTCAACCAATTAAGATAATAATGCTGTACCACTTGATGGAGAATTGTTATCAATAAATATTTTCTGCAAGTTTGGTCGATCCAGTTGATGCCCTTTTGTGCTATATTAGTAAACGTACACATGCTATTACCTAGTAGTGTCTGTTTAATAGAACCCATTCACTTAATACTAGGGTAGCCTCTAGCATGTTGTTCCTTCCTACTCCATCTCTGTCTCCTTGTTCTTCCTCTTCCCTGCACTCTTCTTCCTTATGTCTCTTTGCTCCTGGTTGGTGCTGGCAATCTCTTCACTCTTCCTTTGTATGAAGTTAGACTAGAAAAGAGTGTTCGTTAATTCAAAACGTTGGCGACAATATCATTGCAAATACCTATGTTCCTGTGGAAAATAACTATAAAAGGGTCAATATTACTGGTACCATAAAAACATTCAGTAATGCCAAGATTGGGTCTCGCTGTCTTAAAACGACACAATAATAAAGCACTGATTAAGACCTGACTGTTCAATCCTGTGATGTTGGCATATATTATGAAATTATTGTTAATTAGCCAATACCCACCAGTGCTGTACTCCGACGAGCCGTAAGCTTCACATCATCCACAGATACTGTGCTTCTTTTGGCATGCCTACAATAGAATCCCCACAACACACATGTTAGTACTAATCTGATTATGAAACCTCATGGTATTGCCTTATACTTGCTTGGAAATGTGTAATACTGCTAAAGGAACCTTTTATTCTGATTACAACAGATCCTGCAGAGCATTTGATGCCAATTCCTTTTTTCCTACCTCCTAACTGAACACTGCATAAATGTGGGGCTGGAAATCATTAATCTGTAACAGGAGGATTGTCAGTCTGAATAAACACGGATTTCATAACATCAATGCAACCTGTATGAAGACCTTTTACCTTGCAAAGGCCTCCAAGTCCTTCGCAAAAATATCTAAAGATAAGAAAAAAAGGAATGCTGTCAATCATCTGAAACATACAAGCAGAAGAATCCTTGTGTGTGTCTCAGTGTAAAGTGGCATCCTCCAATGGTCTCTCCCTCATCCGCATAGATCTGAAAACACAGGGCAGGTGAAAGACATGATGGTCTTCGACCCTAGGGGAAGTAAAACATAAAATCAGTTACTGTCATAGGTGCAGTGGAATGTTGTTTTACAGGGTCTTTCGGTTACTGGCCCAACGCTCTAACCGCTAGGGGTTTTGACTAGGTGGTATACTGCATACAGCTACGACCGGAAGTGACTTTTTCGTAGCAGGTAAGGATAATTAACATAGCAGGTTAGAGGAATTAGGTTATAGTTAGGAAAAGTGTTAGGGTTAGCTAAAATGCTCTCCTAACCTGCTACGAAAAGTCACTTCCGGTCCTAGCTGTACCCCCATCTAGTCACAACCACTGCTAGGCTACCTGACACTCTTCACCTGCCAAGTTTTTTCCACTTCAGTACAGATGAAGGAAAGGAGACCAGGGGAACAATATACATCTGACCATTGAGATGCAACGAAAGCGTTCCTTCACTTGTTTTATGGCGCTGACGTCAGAGGACTTGATAGTCAATGTATGTATGGTCATCTGACCATCTATCCGTGGTCTTTCAGGAAAATAGATGAGGAAGGGAAACCATAGGAGTGTTTGGACAAAGCCTTTTGAGTCTCAAGATTTTCCCAGTACCCCTAGCCCCTATAACGACTTGTGATAGGGGAGAACCGAATATGTAAGTATACAGTATTACCTATCGAATCCATCCCACGTAGGCCTATGAAGTGTCTAGGGGCAGTTTCTGGACTGGGCCAGAATAACATGTGAATTTGACTGGTGCTTGGACAGAGCAAACCCAAGGTGGAGACTGTGCACAAAGATGTTCATAATTAACTCATCAGTGTCCTCTTGTTACCAGTCATACACAGCAAATCCCCTTCCCTCCAGACATTATTTGGTGATGTTTGTGATTATAATACTCACCACATTGCCTGAACGTCGTTTCAGCTATTGCTGCTATAACCTGTCGACTGAATTCCTTCTGATGATCCTCACCAATGCTTTGACACAGTCTTCCCACTGTATAGTGGACTGCTGCTTTCAGTCTCTACGGGTTTAGTGAAAATATGAGTAAATACTAGCTTTGTCCATCTTTATCTTACGGACACCACGTGCTTCCAAGACACACACACATATATACATATATACATATATATATATATATATATATATATATATATATATATGTGTGTGTGAATCAATGCAAGTAATAAATCAAAGGTCAAAGTTGCACCTGAAGTTTTCTTTCCTCCTCGTCCATTGCTGTTGACATTTCCTCCCGACAGTTCACGTTAGCTAGGCAGCTAGTAGTAGATAGCTTACTTCACCGGTTTACTCATACACTTCTTCACCAGATTATATTTAAAACAGAAAACTAAACAATATGTACAATAGTTTCTAGAGTAGCTAGCTAATGGGCATGGACTAATCTTTATGATAAATCAAATTGCGCTAAACCTGAAAAGTTGCGCGCTTAGAAAGGCGGATGGTGTCATCCAATCGAACCAATACTAAGCCAACAACACCACCTGCTGGGCTGGAGTATTACAAATCAATGCAATAATGGTCCAGTGCCTTATTCATGGTTTTTGGTTAGATCAAATGTATTGTACATAATCACGAAATCCACAAACGTATATCATGTTATTTTTATTCATGTTGTTAAAATGTTAGCTATTTTCTTCTAATTCTTTCGCATACTCAAAGCATATCATATTAGTGATACATTTATGAAGCATATTTAAAAAATGTAAGGTTGAAGAAATATTATGCAAACTTTATGGTGAAAGAATTATCAAGCACTCTTTTTATAAATCTGCTTGCAGACTTTATCCCCACAGGTGATTTCCTATAAGAGAGAGGGAAAATGCATAACAGTTAGGCCTACTAATGCTTTGCCAATGCCATCAATGTAGTTAAAAGGTAGATATGAGTACATGCTACATACCAGATGGAGCTCATCTCCTTCTATCCAGTGTTTCCACCCTCTGTTCTTCTTCTCTCCCTTCTGAACACACACCAGTTTATCATTGTCCCAGTTGACCACTGTCTGTAATAAACAAGAGCACTTATCATAATGTGTTGTGTGGACCATAATTTTAAAACACCTGGGATAGCTCCAGCTTGCTTGAAATAGGCTTAGGCTCTGTTACATATTGTGTTCAATGTTGCCATATTAATGCCCACAGTTCAATAAGCAACAAGGAGCAAAATAACAAAGGGTTCTATTCATCATGATAATTATATGACATAAATGATAAAGTGCCGTCGCCCATAGGAACAGTAAATTGCAAGTTTCTACCTGGACTTTTCTGTTATCCATGGCTTTGGTCACCTCCTCAAACTCTTCCCCAATCTTGAATGAGACTGTGTAGTTTTTGAAGGTAGTGAATGTTTTGATGGTGAAAGAATCCCCGTCTTGCTCAATCACTTTCTGAGGTTTCAACATGTTTGCAATCTTGCGTGTTGCAAAATCAATGCCTGTAAGGAAAGAAATCCTGCATCTGTTACAAATATATCCTAAGAGACTGAACATTTCCAATCCATTCTCAGTAGGAAACTGGTGAGCTAGGGTATGAATCATAACTCCAAAGACAAGGCTTTTTACAAATGTGAATTCTTCAGAATGTATTTCGAAATAAGTTAATATTCATATTATATGGAGTTATAATTCTACTGGGGAGCATGTTGAGCAAAAGAAAGTAGATAGAAGTTGACAATATGAAGTAACTCTGGCACAGGTGTTGGGGAGTAATTGATTACATGTAGCCTAATCAGTTACATGTAATCTGATTTGTAACAAACAAAAATCAATTCAATCAGTTACATTACAAGCAAAAATATTATAATTAGATTACAGATACTTTTGAAAAAATACATTACTTCTTGGATTACATTTATATTCAGAAAGGATGTTTGTGAAGAAATAAATTATTACACCTTTCTGTTATTTATACACTGAGTGTAGAAAACATTAAGAACACCTGCTCGTTCCATGACAAACTGACCAGGTGAAAGCTATGATCCCTTATTGATGTCACTTGTTAAATCCACTTCAATCAGTGTAGAGATGAAGGGGGGGAGACAGGTTAAAGAATAATTTTAAAGCCTTGAGACATGGATTGTGTACAGTATGTGTGCCATTCAGAGGGTGAACTGCTAAATGCTAAATAATGTACACAGTGTATATTATGTTATATATTATAATTTAGCATTAAAAAAGTTTACGTTTGTTCCACCTGAGCAAGTCTGACCACAAGTCACAAACCACTATGAGGACACGAAATGCGTTTGATGGATCTTTTTAGTCTCTTAAGGGGAATGTAATCCAAAAGTAACTGAAAGTAATCTGATTATGTTACAGATTTTGGGGTAGGCTAATCCAAAAGTGATGTTACTGATTACACTTTTAGACAGGTAACTAGTAACTGTAACGGATTACATTTAGAAAGTAACCCTAACCCTGCAGGTGTCCCCATATGTGCCACATACTAAAGAAAAATGAATGATTGCCCCCCCAAAAAATGCAGAGTTCAGACAATAACAATCACATACAGTTGAGATTTACATACACCTTAGCCAAATACATTTAAACTCAGTTTTTCACAATTCCTGACATTTAATCCTAGTAAAAATTCCCTGTCTTAGGTCAGTTAGGATCACCACTTTATTTTAAGAATGTGAAATGTCAGAATAATAGTAGAGAGAATTATTTCTTTCAGCTTTTATTTCTTTCATCACATTCCCAGTGGGTCAGAAGTTTACATACACTCAATTAGTATTTGGTAGCATTGCCTTTAAATTGTTTAACTTGGGCCAAACGTTTTGAGTAGCCTTCCACAAGCTTCCCACAATAAGTTGGGTAAATGTAGGCCCATTCCTCCTGACAGAGCTGGTGTAACTGAGTCAGGTTTGTAGGCCTCCTTGCTTGCACACGCTTTTTCAGTTCTGTCCACACATTTTCTATAGGATTGAGGTCAGGGCTTTGTGATGGCCACTCCAATACCTTGACTTGTTGTCCTTAAGCCATTTTGCCACAACTTTGAAAGTATGCTTGGGGTCATTGTTCATTTGGAAGACCCATTTGCGACCAAGCTTTAACTTCCTGACTGATGTCTTGAGATGTTGCTTCAATATATCCACATAATTTTCCTTCCTCATGATGCCATCTATTTTGTGAAGTGCACCAGTCCCTCCTGCAGCAAAGCACCCCCACAGCATGATGCTGCCACCCCCATGCTTCACGATTGGGATGATGTTCTTCGGCTTGCAAGCGACCCCCTTTTTCCTCCAAACATAACAATGGTCATTATGGCCAAACAGTTCTATTTTTGTTTCATCAGACCAGAGGACATTTCTCCAAAAAGTACGATCTTTGTCGCCATGTGCAGTTGCAAACCGTAGTCTGGCTTTTTTATGGCGGTTTTGGAGCAGTGGCTTCTTCCTTGCTGAGCGGCCTTTCAGGTTATGTTGATATAGGACTCGTTTTATTGTGGATATATATACTTTTGTACCTGTTTCCTCCAGCATCTTCACAAGGTCCTTTGCTGTTGTTCTGGGATTGATTTGCACTTTTCGCACCAAAGTACGTTCATCTCTAGGAGACAGAACGCGTCTCCTTCCTGGGCGGTATGACAGCTGCATGGTCCCATGGTGTTTATACTTGCGTACTATTGTTTGTACAGATGAACGTGGTACCTTCAGGCGTTTGGAAATTGCTTCCAAGGATGAACCAGACTTGTGGTCGTCTACTATTTTTTTTCTGAGGTCTTGGCTGATTTCTTTTTTTATTTTCCCATGATGTCAAGCAAAGAGGCACTGAGTTTGAAGGTAGGCCTTGAAATACATCCACAGGTACACCTCCAATTGACTCAAATTATGTCAATTAGCCTATCAGAAGCTTCTAAAGCCATGACATCATTTTCTGGAATTTTCCAAGCTGTTTAAAGGCACAGTCAACTTAGTGTATGTACACTTCTGACCCACTGGAATTGTGATACAGTGAATTATAAGTGAAATAATCTGTCTGTAAACAATTGTTGGAAAAATGACTTGTGTCATGCACAAAGTAGATGTCTTAACCGACTTGCCAAAACTATAGTTTGTTAACAAGAAATTTGTGGAGTGGTTGAAAAACAAGTTTTAATGACTCCAACCTAAGTGTATGTAAACTTCAGACTTCAACTGTACATGTTATTATCGGCAACATAAAAATGTGTTTTGAATTATTGACAGATAAGAGAAATGAGAATTATGAAATATTATGGATTTGAAAATATAGGCCTATCTAATAAATGAATAAAAGTGAATGAATCAAAGATAATCAATTTCAGTTGAATGGAACGGTACACTACCCTACCTACTGTCAGTATTAATGAATTACCAACAGGTAGGGTGAGTATTGGTTCAGTGGGACACCTGGCAAAGTGGGACACTTAAGCTTTGTAATGGATATCTATAAATGTGTTCAATAACATTGTGCCTGTGTGTTAGTGAGGAAGTATGTGATCATAATCATTGTGGGCGTGGCATCCCGTGTAATGACATGGGTCTCTAGAGGCATAATGGTAAGTAAAATGGCATAGGGTTCTGAGGTAAATAATGTCAAGGTTGTAAAAAAACGGTTTTATTAATACTCTCACGTTTTTAGAATATTGACATTTTGACCTTTGTCCCAGTATGCCAATCGCCTACTGTCAAACTGGGACACCCTGTTACTGTCAAACTGGGACACTAGGCCATTTTAATGCAGAAAAAATATTTCAGGGGATTATGAAATACATGTTTTCTTAACAGAAATACATTTTCTAAATTTAATTTTCCTCAAATCTGCTATCAGCTAGCTTGCTAGAAAAAGCTAGCATAGCTGCATTTTACTTAGAAAGATATTACCTCACCAACATAAAAAATCCTAGCTAGCTATATTCTTAACCATACAGGTATATGATGACAAGAAAATAGTATTTTGCTGTATTTGACTCTGGTGACAATAAAACGGTCATTGAAATTGTTGAGGGGTAAGGCCTTTCTGGTTTCATTCTACAAAATGTCCATTAGATTGTAGTGTTGAGAATGTTGAGCTGATAGGCCTAGATGAAGTTCATTTTATTTATATGCTATACAATGACATATAGGCTACGTCATATAATTATAATCAAGTATGATTATGATAATAATAATAATGATAAATGATCATTCTTAATGTTCCACAAAAATACATAAAGCATGTTTTAATACATTTAATTTGTATGAATAATTTAAGTTTATCATTAAAATATTGAAAATACTAATATATTCTAATTTATTCTTCTTTACAATAAAGAATGAAGTGTCCCACATTGCCAATCAAGGTGTACCAGTTTGCCAGTATTGACTTAAAAAATGTGGTCTCAGCACAATTTGTGTTTGAAGAAGAGTCCTGTGTTTAATATTTTTTTGTTGGTATAGTGTAGTAGGGTTCTTAAACTGTTTAGAATGGTATCATGTTGGGGGTTAGGACAATGGGATGATTCTGTAAGGTGTTCCGGAAAACGAATTTTAATAAAGTGTCACACTTTACCAATACTCACCCTAATTAATTAATCAATAAATAGTAAATATTATTGTAATCAAAGTCACTTTCCTAAAAACATAAGAAAATGTGTGCTGCAATTAACAAGTGAAAAGAGAACTTACCAAGAGCAACCATGTAACCTTCAAAGTTTTCATTACTAGTCATGTCCCATGTGCCACTGTAGTCGGTAGGCATGTTGGATACTTGCGTGGCAGTCTCAACTTCAATAGACAGCAGTTGTTAGAATGAACAGATTTAAAGTCTCTAGGATGTCCCATGGGGTGTTAATATAGGGCAGGGGTTTGGTTTATTTTTTGTAGTTGGTTACTATTTTGGACAATAGAGTAGAGGAATAGCCTGGTGGAGGGCGGAACATGACTTTTTGCACAATTATATGAGGAAATAACATTTGAGATAAGCGCCTCGAAATAGAGTGGTCTATAATGCATCAAACATATGTGCACATTCTTTAGTGGCTCTCTTTCCAACAATGTAAAGGGTCACTGGAATAAATGTGATACAGTTGAATTCAAGGCCGTTTGAGCGCGCGCAACAAATAAAACTTTATAACACTACATTATAACACTTTATAAATAGGCCTACTGTAACCTATTTGTTACAGTTGTTCAGTGGTCTCCTCCAAGCATAGATCCTAGGATGGGTTTTACATTTTACCATAGTGTTCGGTGAGGAAATCAGATCTCACATGGATGCACCCCAGAGTATGCGTGGTTGGGGGATAATTTTCACAGTAATTAGAACTGGGAAGGATGTGTCATCAAGGCCTATCACCTCTCACTTCTTTGGCATAGTTTATTCAAAATGAATGGGCACAATGCTACATTACCCGTTAGCACAGTATACAAGGCATATCATACCAAGGAATCAAAGGTTACAATTGTAAGTATTGGAGGTGTCAAGGTCTATTCACAGATTGGGTCTGGGTCTAATTTCTATGATGATAATTAACAATAACTAGCTATTTGAATGCATTCTACTTTTGTTGGTGGCTTCTTGTGTTGTGAAAAATGATCTGATGGTGATTTCTTTACTTTTCTTTGTACTATTGATAATATGTTTTCTATTAGTAACGTATTCTAAATGAGCATGAATCTTATTCTAGTCTTTTATTTGCAGTCAGATAATTAATGCAATCTTTGTGGCACTAGTTCTCATCCCTTAATTTTAAGTGTCAACCAGTTAAGTAAATGCAAATGTTAAACTAAAAGCTTTTAATTAGAAATCATACATGCAGTGTGTACTATGTCAAGTTTCTGATTTGGAGTTTAAATCCCCCAGGCCCAAATCCTCTCCATACTGCCAGCAGCGTTTTCTGAACAATCTCACTGCCTTCATTGTCTTATCCTTTATGGCTACATCCTGCTTTGTAAACACATTTTTGATAGCTATTTCTTATAGTTTAATGAGGTGTGCTCCTCACAATTGTTTGGCTTTTGGCAAAAGCAATGTTTAATCATTTTATTTTAGCCAAGTTCAAAATAAGTTGATTTGATTATGATGAAAGAGAGATGGCAGTAGAGACAAGCTTTGGACATTCCTATCCTCCTCTTAGTTCAATCAGATGTTTATTTATTTTAATTGTATTTTACCTTTATTTAACTAGGCAAGTCAGTTAAGAACAAATTCTTATTTACAATGACGGCCTATGCCGCCCTATGGGACTCCCAATCACGGCTGGTTGTGATACAGCCTGGAATCGAACCAGGGGGTCTGTAGTGACGCCTCAAGCACTGAGATGCAGTGCCTTAGGCCACTGCTCCACTCGGGAGATTGGGACATTGCATTCCTTGCAACAATCTAAATGTACATATAAAGTATGTGGGTTGTTCCACGAAAAGAGTGCCGTTTGCTTCCCTTTGATATTTAAAGTAAAAATTGTGCACCAATATAGAATTTTAAGAGCCTTTTTATATTGAAGTGCCCTTTAATATAGACCACATGGAGAATTCTAGAAATCAGATTTTTAATATGAATAAAGGCTTGCTAAAATGCAGCATTTTGTCATGTTCCAGATTTTAACCCACATAATCCAAACATTTCTCCAAGTTATTTTGTTGCTTTGACAGTCATTTCTGAAGATGTTTTATTTTATTTCATTTGATTAGTGATTCATTTACATCTGTCCCACATTTTAAGGTCAACCCTGTTATGTGAACTGAACTCCTGTTTTAATATGGTGAAAACATTTGTTTGTAAATATTGTTTTCTAAAGAAACATTGAACATCTAATAGTCAAATCACAGTGTAAAAGCAGTTGAGCTGGTTCTACAATTTTTTGCCATTTTCTGTTGTTTTGTGGTGGAAAACTGAGCGGTCGAGCATAACATGTCAATCCTGTTACCCATAGATAGACAGGCTAGAAATGTTTTCGCAATAATAAAAAATGGTGAAGCTTGCATTCAATTGCCACTCCCTGTTGCACACAATAATCTTCCATTCCCCCTGTCACAAGGGGATTTATGGCTGATTTAAGATTAAATCGTCAACCCTGTTACAGTCAACACCTGTTACGGTCAACCGTGTTACTTTACTTACTATAGGCACTTACTATAGTAATTTTTTTATTTAACCTCTTGAGATGGCAACGTGTTTTTTAAAATTAAGTTTAACGTGCTCTTTATGACAGAATGTTAAAATTAGGTGAAATAAAACGTTTTTTTGACCAAGTTACACTCCTCAAAAGGCACCGAATTGGTACAAGATTCAGTTATTGGAAACCACTTATCCCACATCTACAAATGGTAAGAGACACAAGTAATTGGCACCTGTTTGTCTGATGAAACTCTGCCTCCTGACCAGGTTTTGCAGTAACATTCATGCTGATAGACCCAGTGCCCCAGAGCTTCAGGGCAGCCTACCATTGGTTTGGACTTGTGTATTTTGGCCAGGGACTGTGCACCATCAACCTGCCTGCACAACAGTGTGTAAGTAAAGTATAGCATTTGAGATATAACTTGGATCAGTAGCTTTACAGGGATGTGACATACGTATGTTTTGCCTACTATTACAGTTAGCGACTTTATAATATGGTCCAGAGGTTCTAATGCTCCAAAGGAAATTATGCATAAAGCATTTGAATATTTCTGCATTCGCAGGCAAAAACAACTCCTGAGCTGTTCTGTCATTGGCTTGTATCCTGAGTACACGTAAGCCTTCACCACAACATATACCATTTTCCAGAACTGATGCCATTGCTTATGTTTATTCTCAGCCTTTTTCTTGGTGGAGGGAGGACTCTGGGTAACAACCCATAGGCTACTCAGGCTTGGCCAGAGAGGGAACAATGGCTAACTAGTACAAACAGTCTAGTCCAACCAGCATATATATTATTATATGCACACAAGTGCTCGCACACACACTCTGGGCGTTCTGCCAAAAATAGTCTTAAGGAGGAGGTCATGACGGCCCCCCCCTCATATCTTTACCGGGCACAGGCAGGAACCAAGGATTGTTTATGACACCAAAGACAAGATGCACAAAGTAAAATTTCCTTCACAGATTTCTGACAGTTTAGTTTTTTTGCTGCCGTGCCATTATTGCTGGCTACACTAGCCTAGACCATACTTAGAGGGAAATGTCTGTATTTGTTCAGGTTTGTGATAGGTTTGCAGATAGAACCTTATAGCGCCAAGTTCAATTGGGTTTATGCAGATATAATTTTATATATAGTACCAGTCAAAGGTTTGGACACACCTAGTCATTCAAGGGTTTTTCTTTATTTGTACTATTTTCTACATTGACGACAGCTTTGCACACTCTTGGCATTCTCTCAACCAGCTTCACCGGGAATGCTTTTCCAACAGTCTTGAAGGAGTTCCTACACATGCTGAGCACTTGTTGGCTGCTTTTCCTTCACTCTGCCCTCAGACTCATCCCAAACCATCTCAATTGGGTTGAGGTCGGGGGATTGTGGAGGCCAGGTCATCTGATGCAGCACTCCATCACTCTCCTTCTTGGTAAAATAGCCCTTACACAGCCTGGAGGTGTGTTGGGTCATTGTCCTGTTGAAAAACAAATGATAGTCCCACTAAGCCCAAACCAGATGGGATGGCATTTCGCTGCAGAATGCTGTGGTAGCCATGCTGGTTAAGTGTGCCTTGAATTCTAAATAAATCACAGACTGTGTCACCAGCAAAGATCCCCACACCATTACACCTCCTCCTCCATGATTTACGGTGGGAAATACACATGCGGAGATCATCCGTACAAATTTCCACCGGTCTAATGTCCATTGCTCGTGTTTCTTGGCCCAAGCAGGTCTCTTCTTCTTATTGGTGTCCTTTAGTAGTGGTTTCTTTGCAGCAATTCGACCATGAAGGCCTGATTCACACAGTCCCCTCTGAACAGTTGATGTTGATACAGTGGGGAAAAAAGTATTTAGTCAGCCACCAATTGTGCAAGTTCTCCCACTTAAAAAGATGAGAGAGGCCTGTAATTTTCATCATAGGTACACGTCAACTATGACAGACAAATTGAGAATTTTTTTCCAGAAAATCACATTGTAGGATTTTTAATGAATTTATTTGCAAATTATGGTGGAAAATAAGTATTTGGTCACCTACAAACAAGCAAGATTTCAGGCTCTCACAGACCTGTAACTTCTTCTTTAAGAGGCTCCTCTGTCCTCCACTCGTTACCTGTATTAATGGCACCTGTTTGAACTTGTTATCAGTATAAAAGACACCTGTCCACAACCTCAAACAGTCACACTCCAAACTCCACTATGGCCAAGACCAAAGAGCTGTCAAAGGACACCAGAAACAAAATTGTAGACCTGCACCAGGCTGGGAAGACTGAATCTGCAATAGGTAAGCAGCTTGGTTTGAAGAAATCAACTGTGGGAGCAATTATTAGGAAATGGAAGACATACAAGACCACTGATAATCTCCCTCGATCTGGGGCTCCACGCAAGATCTCACCCTGTGGGGTCAAAATGATCACAAGAACGGTGAGCAAAAATCCCAGAACCACACGGGGGGACCTAGTGAATGACCTGCAGAGAGCTGGGACCAAAGTAACAAAGCCTACCATCAGTAACACACTTCGCCGCCAGGGACTCAAATCCTGCAGTGCCAGACGTGTCCCCCTGCTTAAGCCAGTACATGTCCAGGCCCGTCTGAAGTTTGCTAGAGTGCATTTGGATGATCCAGAAGAGGATTGGGAGAATGTCATATGGTCAGATGAAACCAAAATAGAACTTTTTGGTAAAAACTCAACTCGTCGTGTTTGGAGGACAAAGAATGCTGAGTTGCATCCAAAGAACACCATACCTACTGTGAAGCATGGGGTGGAAACATCATGCTTTGGGGCTGTTTTTCTGCAAAGGGACCAGGACGACTGATCCGTGTAAAGGAAAGAATGAATGGGGCCATGTATCGTGAGATTTTGAGTGAAAACCTCCTTCCATCAGCAAGGGCATTGAAGATGAAACGTGGCTGGGTCTTTCAGCATGACAATGATCCCAAACACACCGCCCGGGCAACGAAGGAGTGGCTTCGTAAGAAGCATTTCAAGGTCCTGGAGTGGCCTAGCCAGTCTCCAGATCTCAACCCCATAGAAAATCTTTGGAGGGAGTTGAAAGTCTGTGTTGCCCAGCGACAGCCCCAAAACATCACTGCTCTAGAGGAGATCTGCATGGAGGAATGGGCCAAAATACCAGCAACAGTGTGTGAAAACCTTGTGAAGACTTACAGAAAACGTTTGACCTGTGTCATTGCCAACAAAGGGTATATAACAAAGTATTGAGAAACTTTTGTTATTGACCAAATACTTATTTTCCACCATAATTTGCAAATAAATTCATTAAAAATCCTACAATGTGATTTTCTGGATTTTTTTTCTCATTTTGTCTGTCATAGTTGACGTGTACCTATGATGAAAATTACAGGCCTCTCTCATCTTTTTAAGTGGGAGAACTTGCACAATTGGTGGCTGACTAAATACATTTTTTCCCCACTTTATGTGTCTGTGACTTGAACTCTGTGAAGCATTTATTTGGGCTGCAATTTCTGAGGCTGGTAACTCTAATGAACTTATCCTCTGCAGCAGAGGTAACTCTGGGTCTTCCATTCCTGTGGTGGTCCTCATGAGAGCCAGTTTCATCATAGCGCTTGATGGTTTTTGCAACTACACTTGAAGAAACATTAAAAATTCTTGAAATGGTCCGTATTGACTGACCTTCATGTCTTAAAGTAATGATGGACTGTCGTTTCTCTTTGCTTATTTGAGCTGTTCTTGCCATAATATGGACTTGGTCTTTTACCAAATAGGGCTATCTTATGTATACCCCCCCTACCTTGTCACAACACAACTGATTGGCTCAAACGCATTAAGAAGGAAAGAAATTCCACAAATTAACTTTTAAGAAGGCACACCTGTTAATTGAAATGCATTCCTGGTGACTACCTCATGAAGCTGGTTGAGAGAATGCCAAGAGTGTGCAAAGCTGTCATCAAGGCAAAGGGTGGCTATTTGAAGAATCTCAAATATAAAATATATTTTGATTTGTTTAACACTTTTTTGGTTACTACATGATTCCATATCAGTTATTCCGTAGTTTTGACGTCTTCACTATTATTCTACAATGTAAAAAATTGTAAAAATAAAGAAAAACCCTTGAATGAGTAGGTGTGTCCAAACTTTTATATATAAATATATATATATATATATATACACTGCTCAAAGAAATAAAGGGAACACTAAAATAACACATCATAGATCTGAATGAATGAAATAATCTTATTAAATACTTTTTTCTTTACATAGTTGAATGTGCTGACAACAAAATCACACAAAAAATATCAATGGAAATCAAATGTATCAACCCATGGAGGTCTGGATTTGGAGTCACCCTCAAAATTAAAGTGGAAAACCACACTACAGGCTGATCCAACTTTGATGTAATGTCCTTAAAACAAGTCAAAATGAGGCTCAGTAGTGTGTGTGTGGCCTTCACGTGCCTGTATGACCTCCCTACAACGCCTGGGCATGCTCCTGATGAGGTGGCGGATGGTCTCCTGAGGGATCTCCTCCCAGACCTGGACTAAAGCATCCGCCAACTCCTGGACAGTCTGTGGTGCAACGTGGCATTGGTGGATGGAGCGAGACATGATGTCCCAGATGTGCTCAATTGGATTCAGGTCTGGGGAACGGGCGGGCCAGTCCATAGCATCAATGCCTTCCTCTTGCAGGAACTGCTGACACACTCCAGCCACATGAGGTCTAGCATTGTCTTGCACCAGCATATGTTCTCACAAGGGGTCTGAGGATCTCATCTCGGTACCTAATGGCAGTCAGGCTACCTCTGGCGAGCACATGGAGGGCTGTGCGGCCCCCCAAAGAAATGCCACCCCACACCATGACTGACCCACCGCCAAACCGGTCATGCTGGAGGATGTTGCAGGCAGCAGAACGTTCTCCACGGCGTCTCTAGACTCTGTCACGTCTGTCACGTGCTCAGTGTGAACCTGCTTTCATCTGTGAAGAGCACAGGGCGCCAGTGGCGAATTTGCCAATCTTGGTGTTCTCTGGCAAATGCCAAACGTCCTGCACGGTGTTGGGCTGTAAGCACAACCCCCACCTGTGGACGTCGGGCCCTCATACCACCCTCATGGAGTCTGTTTCTGACCGTTTGAGCAGACACATGCACATTTGTGGCCTGCTGGAGGTCATTTTGCAGGGCTCTGGCAGTGCTCCTCCTGCTCCTCCTTGCACAAAGGCGGAGGTAGCAGTCCTGCTGCTGGGTTGTTGCCCTCCTACGGCCTCCTCCACGTCTCCTGATGTACTGGCCTGTCTCCTGGTAGCGCCTCCATGCTCTGGACACTACGCTGACAGACACAGCAAACCTTCTTGCTACAGCTCGCATTGATGTGCCATCCTGGATGAGCTGCACTACCTGAGCCACTTGTGTGGGTGGTAGACTCCATCTCATGCTACCACTAGAGTGAAAGCACCGCCAGCATTCAAAAGTGACCAAAACATCAGCCAGGAAGCATAGGAACTGAGAAGTGGTCTGTGGTCACCACCTGCAAAACCAGTCCTTTATTGGGGGTGTCTTGCTAATTGCCTATAATTTCCACCTGTTGTCTATTCCATTTGCACAACAGCATGTGAAATGTATTGTCAATCAGTGTTGCTTCCTAAGTGGACAGTTTGATTTCACAGAAGTGTGATTGACTTGGAGTTACATTGTGTTGTTTAAGTGTTCCCTTTATTTTTTTGAGCAGTGTGTATATATATATATATAGTTTTTTTTTATGAACTTTTAAAAAATTGAACTTCAGACACACGAAGAACTATCTAAAGATCAATTATATATGACTAACTAATTGTTCTACCAAAATGTCAGATAGAACCTCGTATCTGCAAACATCAAATTGAAACCTTTTCGCAGGCAAGTATAAAGGTATATTAACATACACTTCTCTGTATAATTAGGGCTGGATTCCATCCGTATTGCAGAAGTGTCACGGAAGATCTGCGTTATAACTCGATAGAAATTATAAAAAGGCAAAGTTCCCGCGTTCACCGAGACTGCATTCACGGTAAATGCTGCATATGTCAGCTCAATCGGAAATGACCTTAAAATGTATACGTGGAGCTTCCGTGATACGGATTGAATCCAGACCTTAATTAAGGTAAACGTAGTTAAGCGGTTCGACCAAACTTCATCAACCTGTTTTAAATCCATTTGAAAAGTACTACATTTGGAAGGTCACAACTTCTAAACACCTCTTATTAGCACCATTTCACTTTCTCACATTAAAAGAGGACATATTAGGATATACTGGGCTGGCTTATAGGGAAAATTACACACATTAGGGTCAAAGGCTGTGGACATTTTACATAGCTATCAAGTAATACATTAGATCATCATTTTAGTTTTTTTAATTCATGAGCAAAGATTAAAACAAAAGCAGCAATTGATCGGAATGTGCTTTTTGGTAATTGAATGTACTGGACAGTACATTACATTATGCAGTTTGATTTCATTTGTCATTGAGGCACAAATACAATAATACATGGCTATAGCCTACATTATCTGTTGACCATTAATTTCTACCTAAATTATTGGCCTTTCACAGTTCAAAATCCCCTTTTAACAATCCTATTCTATGCTGGTTCAGTGGAGAACAGGTAGCCTTATGAGAAAATATACAGTTTTTACAATTATATAAAATATAGTCAGTCTTTAATAATTATTCATGATCTGAAAAACAAACTTCCATATCTACTTTGCTTTCCTGAGATGTCCATTTGGTAAACATAAACAATCATACTTCTTTAACATACATGCGCGCATCACACACACACAACATTAACCCTACATCTTGTATATTGAAAAAGAAAACATATACCACCAGTATACCATTTCTACTTTCAACTTTAAGTAAGGTGCCCAGAATCAACAGAACTTTATCATTACTTTAAATTCTTGATCAAAATTACACAAATCATAAATTGTATCCATTTAAATGTACATCATTTCATTGCTACAGTATCCCCTATCCTAATAGAGCATCATAGTCTATGTACCATACTAGCCTGCCACTGGTCGGCCGGATCCCAGTGATGGGCCAATTGTTTGGGTTGTCCTTGACTCGGCTGAGCTGGGTGACCAGCTCATGTTTGCTCTTACCCATCACCAGCACACCTACTTTCTGGGCCTGGTTGATAGCCTTGAGGGTGAGGCTCATACGCTGGTGAGGCTTGGCTGGGCTCTCGGTGAGGGCTACTAGACTGTTCCCACTGGCGTCTAGTTTGCTGCCTGGGAACAGAGAGGCAGTGTGGCCGTCGTAGCCCACTCCCAGCAGGACAAAGTGGAAGCTGGAAGCGTTAACCAGCTGGGTGATGTCTCTCTCATAGAGCAGCGCTCCACTATCCTCCTCCACACACAGCCGCTGGTTCATCTGCACTGGCATGGGGTGGATATTGAAGTAGGACATCTTCACGTGTTTGAGCAGGTGGTCGTGCAGGGTGCGGAAGTTGGAGTCCAACTCTGTAAGAGGCACGCATCGCTCATCCACCATCCACACGTGGGTGTCCCTCCAGGGGAAGGAGTAGTGGTGGCGGGCCAGCCTCTGGAACAGAGCTAGGGGACTGGAGCCCCCGGAGAGGGCCAGGTGGAAGCGTCCGCCCTCCCTTACCGCGTTCTCCGCTGCAGCCTGCAGGTCTGCGGCCAGCCGCACGATGAGCTCCTCGGGCCAGGCAGACACCATGTCAGCGCTGCGGTACTTCCCCTGCATCACCTGGAAGCTCTCCGCCCCAGACCCGCCCATGTGGTCCTGGGTGACCATGACCACTGCCTCATTGGCGAAGGTCACCTCCCGTCCCAAAAGTTTGAAGTCCAGCATGTTGCCGTTGTCCGCTCCCCCGGGATACAGGCGGGGGAAGGTGTTGGCCAGGCTCTGCAGGAGAGGTGTCCAGAAACTCCAGGAGGCCAGCAGGTTCTCAGCACTGATAAAGCTGTCTTTCCGGCCTTGGAAGATGTGCGAAATGAGTTCTGCGTAAGCCTCTCTCTCCACCGTTGGCATCAGCACGTAGTAGTCTGAGATGGGCAAACCTAATACCCTGACATCTTTGTGTTCCGTTACCTCCTTCCACTCAGTGTCCATCAGGTCTGGCTTGAACAGGTTCTTACTCACGAGAATGGCTGGGTACTGCAGAGTGCCGTGGCCAAAGTAGAACACAATCTGCTTGGGCTTGCAGTGGACACTGCTGTGGCTCTGGATACAGAAGATGTCATTCTTGAACATAATGCGAGCGTAGCCTACGCGCTCATCCAGCATCTTCCCTGAGGTTAGGATGACTGGCATGCCCTCGTACTGGGCTAGGTCAATGTGCACCATTACACCTGAAATAGAAAAACAAACAGTTTTATCACTGAAAAAAAAATCACACAAAAAATATGTATCATATGTAGGGCCCTGTGTTTTGGACTATCATGTCACATGACTGAGATGTTAACCTTTATTTTAAGCCTTTTCAAGAAATCAGAATTACACCAAAAATGAAAGCAATTGTCTGAGGATAGTGCTGGACCATCTAACCTGAAAAGAAATACATTTTGATGAAAAAGCTTAAAATAAAGGTTAAAAACCAGGTCATGTGACATCATTACCCAAAACACATGGCCCTAATAATTTGTTACTACTATATGACAATACAAATTCCTCCTTTAATACTCCTGTAATGCACAGGCTGAAGAGAAGACTTCCTACAGGCAAACATTCTCATGACACTTACCAGTGAAGGTGGGGGTGAGGCTGAAGTGCTCCTTTGTTTTGTTCAGTTCTTCCTGTACCTCTGCATTGTAGGCCTGGTACTGACCAATGGCAGCACAGTTCCTGTCCAGGTGCTGCAAGGCACTGAAGATCTTCAGCTTGTTCTTGAGGACCTCCTTAGTGTTGCTCAGGTTGGATGGGAGCTCCATGGTCAGAAGGGTCATGACCTCAGTCAGGTGGTTTTGTATCACGTCTCTGATCACACCGTACTGGTCATAGAAGGGGATGCGACCTGTGACAAGGGGAGAAATAAATCAAACAATCAAAAACTTCCTGACAGGTGATGTTACTATCACCATCACATATTTTTATAGAGGGGGTTAATACACTTGCTTTCACTAACATAAAATGTGAAATGGTCCGTTTCCTGGGACCATAGAGTACCTTTGGCATCCAGGGTCTCCTTCAGTACAATCTCCACTCTCTCAATGTGGTGCTTGTTCCAGATAGGATCCAGATGCTTGCTGTTCTCCCTTCTGAATGGCAAAATCTTAGAGACAACCTTTTGAGTATAAAAACAAACAATAGAATTAAAACCAGTTGAACTGACAAATCGTTTTGCACTGCTTCGCTAAGGTTTTAGTCATCAATCTTGCAAGAGGGGAATATTTTATTAATTTAGTAGTGTGTCCCCCCACAGGCAGAGTTGCAAAGAAAAAGCCATATCTCAGACTGGCCATCTTAATCTTTTATTTTTATTGGCCAGTCTGAGATATGTCTTTTTCTTTGAAAACTCTGCCTAGAAGGTCAGCATCCCGGACTCGCCTCTTCACTGTTGACGTTGTAACTGGTGTTTTGCGGGTACTATTTAATGAAGCTGCCAGTTGAGGACCTGTGAGGCGCCTGTTTCTCAAACTATTTGTCCTCTTGCTCAGTTGTGCTCCTGGGCCTAGTCTCAAGAAGGCCAGTTTTATTGCTTCTTTAATCAGCACAACAGTTTTCAGCTGTGCTAACATAATTGTAAAAGGGTTTTCTAATGATCAATTAGCCTTTTAAAATGATAAACTTGGATTAGCAAACACAACGTGCCATTGGAACACAGGACTGATGGTTGCTGATAATGTGCCTCTGTACGCCTATGTAGATATTCCATTAAAAATCAGCCGTTACCAGCTACAATAGCCATTTACAACATTAACAATGTCTACACTGTATTTCTGATCAATTTGATGTTATTTTAATGAACCAAAAAATGGCTTTTCTTTCGAAAACAAGGACATTTCTAAGTGACCCCAAACTTTTGAACGGTAGTGTAAGTATAAAAAAAACATTTAAAAAAATAAAAAATATGGTTTTTCTTTAAATACAGTGGGGAGAACAAGTATTTGATACACTGCCATTTTGCAGGTTTTCCTACTTACAAAGCATGTAGAGGTCTGTAATTTTTATCATAGGTACACTTCAACTGTGAGAGACGGAATCTAAAACAAAAATCCAGAAAATCACATTGTATGATTTTTAAGTAATTAATTTGCATTTTATTGCATGACATAAGTATTTGATCACTTACCAACCAGTAAGAATTCCGGCTCTCACAGACCTGTTCGTTTTTCTTTAAGAAGCCCTCCTGTTCTCCACTCATTACCTGTATTAACTGCACCTGTTTGAATTCGTTACCTGTATAAAAGACACCTGTCCACACACTCAATCAAACAGACTCCAACCTCTCCACAATGGCCAAGATCAGAGAGCTGTGTAAGGACATCAGGGATACAATTGTAGACCTGCACAAGGCTGGGATAGGCTACAGGACAATAGGCAAGCAGCTTGGTGAGAAGGCAACAACTGTTGGCGCAATTATTAGAAAATGGAAGAAGTTCAAGATGACGGTCAATCACCCTCGGTCTGGGGCTCCATGCAAGATCTCACCTCGTGGGGCATCAATGATCATGAGGAAGGTGAGGGATCAGCCCAGAACTACACGGCAGGACCTGGTCAATGACCTGAAGAGAGCTGGGACCACAGTCTCAAAGAAAACCATTAGTAACACACTACGCCGTCATGGATTAAAATCCTGCAGCGCACGCAAGTTCCCCCTGCTCAAGCCAGCGCATGTCCAGGCCCATCTGAAGTTTGCCAATGACCATCTGGATGATCCAGAGGAGGAATGGGAGAAGGTCATGTGGTCTGATGAGACAAAAATAGAGCTTTTTGGTCTAAACTCCACTCGCCGTGTTTGGAGGAAGAAGAAGGATGAGTACAACCCCAAAAACACCATCCCAACCGTGAAGCATGGAGGTGGAAACATCATTCTTTGGGGATGCTTTTATGCAAAGGGGACAGGACGACTGCACCGTGTTGAGGGGAGGATGGATGGGGCCATGTATCGCGAGATCTTGGCCAACAACCTCCTTCCCTCAGTAAGAGCATTGAAGATGGGTCGTGGCTGGGTCTTCCAGCATGACAACGACCCGAAAACACACAGCCAGGGCAACTAAGGAGTGGCTCCGTAAGAAGCATCTCAAGGTCCTTGAGTGGCCTAGCCAGTCTCCAGACCTGAACCCAATAGAAAATATTTGGAGGGAGCTGAAAGTCTGTATTGCCCAGCGACAGCCCCGAAACCTGAAGGATCTGGAGAAGGTCTGTATGGAGGAGTGGGCCAAAATCCCTGCTGCAGTGTGTGCAAACCTGGTCAAGACCTACAGGAAACGTATGATCTCTGTAATTGCAAATAAAGGTTTCTGTACCAAATATTAAGTTCTGCTTTTCTGATGTATCAAATACTTATGTCATTCAATAAAATGCAAATTCATTACTTAAAAATCATACAATGTGATTTTCTGGATTTTTTTTTTTGATTCCGTCTCTCACAGTTGAAGTGTACCTATGATAAAAATTACAGACCTCTACATGCTTTGTAAGTAGGAAAACCTGCAAAATTGGCAGTGTATCAAATACTTGTTCTCCCCACTGTATATGTGAATGAATAAGCCTTTAATACTTTATAAATTATGCCAATACAGTATATACTTATAATCTGTTTTAGGAACATCTACAGAAAATATTTCACCTTTTTTATTACTTTACCAAACATATCATGACATTAGTGATGTTCACAAATGTAACAGATTTTGGACAGTCTAAATCAACATTTAGGCCATTTAAACAGCGTGCGTCCCTCCTATAGACAAAGGGAGAAGGGCTATGTAAAGGGATCGATTTCATTCTGAGCATATGCAATGTGTCCCGCCTCTAATGTAAAACAAATGTTTGACTTCCACACCAATTCTTTACTTATTTTAGGTTTAAGGAAGTGTAGAGCCATGAAAGTAGAGCCATGAAAGTTATGTATTTAGATCCGCCTGCTCAAGACAAATTCAGCGATTGCTTTGCCATGTCTGTGCCGTGAAGCAGTCGAGCTGGATAAATGTTTTTCTAAGGACCGCCCCTTTGATGTAACGTTGCAATGAAGTGATATAAATTGATGTCATTATGCAGCCAACCACCAGAGGGAGGCAAATACAAGTTTATGAGACAGAAGACGTTTACATAGTCATAGGAAGCTCTGGATGGCTGTCTTCTGACTTATAAAAACGGTGGGAAATCAATAAAAGAAGTCATGTAAACATACATTTTTTAAAAAGTAATTCTAGTGCCCGATTTCAGGACGGTCAGCGTAATTAAACCAAAGATCTGCTTCAAATGTGAAGAATTGTGTTAAAGTGTAACCTACTATGTATGGACTGATCAGGAGCCCTACTACATCACCTGCTTCCCTAAATAGTGATCGATCCTGTACATCTCGTCATCTTTGAGGGAGGTACCCAGTTGACTGGACAGGAGTTGGGCGCTACTGAAATCATGGCCAAACGGCTTCTCCAGTACCACCCTCAACCACGCCCCATCGGTCGGTCTGCAGCTGTCGCTGATCCTTTCTGCAATGTCCGCATAAGCGAAGGCTGGCACTGACAAGTAGAACAGCCTGCCTGCCTCCACTATGCCCTCCTGCGTCAGATGATCTGTCAGGTGTTTGCCCAGGGCCTGGTAGTCCTCTGAAGTCTTCAGCTGCCGATACTCAGCCAGCCTCAGGAACTGCTCCTTCACCAGGGCACAGCGCTCCACAGACAACTCCCGAGGACAGACCACTCCCTTCAGCACTTCAAACAGGATCGGCGTGGCCTTATTCTTGGGCGACAGGCCTACGCCATAAAAGGAGAAGCTGTAGCCGCTACTTACCTGGTTAGCGTACAGCTGGAAAAAGCCCTGCCACAGGTACTTCTTAGCCAAGTCACCTGTACCTCCCACTATGACCACTGACACGTGCCCCAGTCTCTGTGCTCCCTTGGCATACCCTCTCTGGACACACACAGTGGCCAGAAGCAGCAGAGCTGCCCACACAACCTTCCACATTCTCTGGTCCAAGACAGATCAGCTCCTACAGGAGAGAGACAGTGCAAGAAGAACAGGGAACCTCAAAAGGTGATTTACAGACCGGTTGTGGATTGCTAAGTATTTCCACGTTATTAACCCATAATCACAGTGGCTGATTCACCCACTTAAAACACACATTGATTACAGTCGTGGATTGTTTTTCCGCCAATGCAAGCAGTATTTCTGTGAGGCAGCCTAGCCTACTCTTAATGATGTGGCATATGGGAAAGTGACAGCTCTTAGCTACTCCAGGAACTACAACATATGGAACTACAACATAATATAATATAATATGCCATTTAGCAGACACTTTTATCCAAAGCGACTTACAGTCATGTGTGCATACATTTTTACGTATGGGTGGTCCCGGGGATCGAACGCACTACCCTGGCGTTACAAGCGCCATGCTCTACCAATTGAGCTACAGAGGACCACCATCACCCCCCAACAGCACCCTCTTCCATGTCTTGGTCATATGTTCATCTATAGGTCAATGTCTTTATTTTTTGTGTCAAAGTGAGGCAACTACTCTGTCAGTAGATAACAGGCCAGTCCTGTGGTAAATGTTCTTTACATTTTCCATATTGATTGTATTCAAGTGGTTGAACCTCAAGGCCTACATGTTTTGGGGTGGATGTTTAGAGACAACCGGACTGATCAAATGGTTTCTAGACTGAGCCCATTGAAAAGAGTGTGGCCTAAGTCAACATTTACAAGATAAACAGACGAGGCATCTACCGTAAATGGCTTGCGTAACTTTAACGTAACATCTGAAATCATAGTCTAGTATTGATGTATTGAAGTTTACACAGCAAACAACAAAAGTCATTGCCACTGAATTCTCCTGGGAATCAAATACTTTTATAATGGATGGACACTCATTAAAACATTTACATTTTTAGCTGACAGTAAGTCAAGATTTAGGAGTGGTCCTATCCAAACAACCCAGATTGCAGCTCTGACTTTCAGGATGTTGACCTACATACAACGTTAATGTAATAAAATAAAAAAGTTGAATAAAGATTAACATAGGCCGGGTCATTCAGTGTGAACAAATATCCATGACATGAAGTTCTTGAAACTTTGGGTAACCAAAGCCTCCTTTACCACACTTAAGACCACACATTGTATAATGATTTCAATGACAGTGACATAAAGACTTGCTCTGTACTGTATATACATTGTAAGTTAGGCTAGTGGCAAAGATATAGGAACCATCTCAATAATATTTTAGATACTTATCCCAGGTGTCTAAATCCCAATCCTCCTGAGAAAATGTCTTTGTCCTTTCAGGGAAATAAAAAATTACACGGATATATATTTTTTATTTTACCTTTATTTAACTAGGCAAGTCAGTTAAGAACAAATTCTTATTTACAATGACGGCCTACACCGGCCAAACCCGGACGACGCTGGGCCAATTGTGCACCGCCCTATGGGACTCCCAATCACGGCTGGTTGTGATACAGCCTGGAATTGAACCAGGGGGTCTGTAGTGACGCCTCAAGTACTGAGATGCAGTGCCTTAGACCGCTGCGCCACTCGGGAGTTGTCCCATTTTCATACAGAACGACTAATTTATGACTGTAAGGGATCAACTCAGTCCCAGTAAATAGTGTACAAGATACTATAAATACATATTTTGAGTAACGCTCGAGTCTTAACTCATGATAAGTGCAGAACTAACAAACCATTGAATTAATAGCTTCTCAAAAGTTATATTGTGGAGGGAAAACTAGGTAGCCCCTAGCAGCCTGATGAATAACAACAGTGCTCACATTGTTAACCCAGTCTGCCTCTGAGGACATTAGAGAATTGCAACACAGTCTTCCAGATGATCTGAAAGGCTGGATATTGGAAAGTGAAAAATGTCCCATCCTGAAATTATACAGTAGCCTACGCCCAATAAATGTGTAACTTTGTAGAAACTCATAACCCATCCATTGCAAATGTATTGAACATTGAAGCCTTCACTCAATTCCAAAACAGAACATTACATTACATTACATTTTAGTCATTTAGCAGACACTCTTATCCAGAGCGACTTACAGGAGCAATTAGGGTTAAGTGCCTTGCTCAAGGGCACATTTACGTCATTTAGCAGACGCTCTTATCCAGAGCGACTCACAAATTGGTGCATTCACCCTATAGCCAGTGGGATAACCACTTTACAATTTTTTTGGGGGGGGGGGGGGTAGAAGGATTACTTTATCCTATCCCAGGTATTCCTTAAAGAGGTGGGGTTTCAAATGTAGATACTGGCAGAAGGATCCCAACCAAATGGTTTAACAACCACCTTCTGTCTAGTGTGTTTATCACGTTTACATCCAAACTGTATGTTAGACCTTGAATAATAAGCAATAATAGCTAGCTTATGGATTCTATTTTATCCTATTATTCATTTCTGACTGAAATACAAAAAGGTACAAAATACCCCTGGCTAAAATATGATGTCTTTGTCATGAATAGTGTCCTCTCACCTATGGCCCTGCATTATGTCACGTGAAGGGCCTATTGAAAACAATGTGCGCTAATAATGTACATGGCCATCACGATCTATGGCCGTAAAATAGGTCTGATTGTTACACCTGCTAGCTGTCTAACTTTAGCCATGCAGTAGATGGATACAATGTCACCCAACAACAGCGTTTCTGTCCATTTACAATCACAATAAAGTCATTTTGTATAGCTAATCCATCTAACTCAAACTATTCAAACTAACCTAGTCTGAACATAAATAATAATAATACAACATTAAAATAAAGACATTCTATGGAAATTAAGTTTACCTGATCCCTTGACAGTCGAGTTCGATGAATTATCGCATCGGTTGATATGTATGTCAAAAGACACTTCCTAGAGCAGTCACGTGTCATCAGAGCGCTTGAATAAATTATGCGTTTCACAGATATGTGACCATCCCAAATAGCCCGTAGATTTCACCAGAAGCGTAATTGTTCAGTCTGTTACATTGGGATCCTGCATAAATCATTAGGTTGGATGCAAGTGCGTTTTTATTTGTGTTCCTCTAGATTTTTATGAACATTTCACAAGAAAAATAAGAGTGCGGTTGTTCACTTGAAACTACACATAAAAAGTGATGGCTGAGTGTTTGGAGTTTGGAATGGAAAAAGATAACCAAAGCCACTGCGTGCGGCTGAACTGACATAGTCTTGCTAACGCCAGCCTCACTGACAGTCAACATAACATGCTTTCGGTATTTGAATGTGAAAGAGGTTAAAATAATTCATATCATATGCTACAATAGTAGTCAATTATTCAATTACACTATTTACAAATCAAACAAATCATGACATGTTGACCCTCTAATCTATGTATTTCATTTCTTTCTCTGTTGGCATCATTCCTGTAAATCCCAGCTGAGTTGACACCACAGGAGGCTGGTGAAAGGAGGACAGCTCATAAGACATGATGGAATGGAGTGAATGGAATGGTATCAAACACATGGAAACGATGTGTTTGATACCACTCCATTTAATCCATTCCAGCCATTACTATGAGCCCGTCCTCCCCAATTAAGGTGCCACCAGCTGCCTGTGGTTGACACCTCTGGCCCTTGTCTTCTGGGCTCCCCATCTCTCCAACTCCTACACATGACTGCCCTCTACTGGTGTACTACAGTTATTTTTAATATCCAACTGAGCTACTGTACTTTGTAGAGTACTACTCTACCCCACCCCACCCCAAAAATGAGATATTTGGTTTCGTATCCTGACACATTTCTTCGTACTGCATCAGCTGATCAGCTGTCTCATGCCATCACTCAGTGCCTATGGAACCAAGAGCAGGTGGAACCAAGAGCTCCTTTAGCCTCACAGCCAACTGATTGTTCAGACCACAATGTGTGTTACCTTATGTGCCTGGGTCGTTACTTTTTTCAATACTTGCCATCTTCACCACATGACAAATTTAGACTGTAGTCATCTTATATCAACCTCCCTGCACTAATTTGCAACTACCAGACTAGATAATGCAATTTTCCCTGAAAGCGCCACATTGACTTTCAACTACACAAAGGCTACTTGACAGGTGTGCCTTAAAACACTACATTAAACCCTGCCAACACACACACCACACACACACACACACACACACACACAGCTTTAGGTCCAGTGGCCATACCCCGGAGCCCTCCCAAGTAGCCTTCCACTGTGAAATGTAAACAAAAAACAGGACAGTGCTTCCTGAGTACGTGTGTGTGTGTGTGTGTGTGTGTGTGTGTGTGTGTGTGTGTGTGTGTGTGTGTGTGTGTGTGTGTGTCTGAATGGGACAATGCAGAGTCTGCTAGCCCAGCTGTCCCTGCCATAACCCAAGACTTGAGAGGCAGAGCAAGCTGGAGGGCCACTGTATTCTATCACCTCCTCCCCCCAGGCCTTCTACCCAGCCCCTTCCTTCCCTTTCTTCAGACTTCAGGGCAGACGTCGTCAAGCTGAGCACACAAACAAACGCATATGAATGTGTGCTCTCATCTTCATTAGGCCCCCTCGGCCAACACACATTACATTTACTACAGCTCTTTACCGAATTACATTTCACTTTCATTTGTGCTCTGGCTCCACCTCTACATCCCGTACCAGAAGAGGATTAGCCAGATCTGGGGGCGGGGCTAAACCTAAAAACACAAACTGCTACTCATCTTTACATGGGGGTGGCTGTTGGAATGTACTGATACAAAGGATAAGTGCAAGATAAGAAATATATGTCTCATTCAATTTGTTATAAACTTTCTTTGTAAAGTGAACGCTGTGAAATGTATTTACAGTTTTTGTAAGATCTCAAATAAAACAATTGCCTCTTGAATTACTTAAAAACTCTCTCATTCTTCATTTATTTAATCATTGCATATGTATTTGGCACCACACTACATTTGACCAAGGAGGGGATTTCAACATGTTACCCTGGACTGACTCTTAAACTTGATAACCACCATCACTGTGTCTTTCCTAAACACACTGTGTTTTGTCTAAACAGTTCCATCAACTCATTCTAGAAGTCTTTCATTCTGCTATCCACCAATCAGCCCTGAAAGG